CTTCGCTTATCCCGAATTGGTGCCTCTATAGTTACACCATTAGAACCCAGTGTTGGCAGTCCAACCCAGCAGAATCAACTGAGAGCCAGTGGGGCGTGTCTTACTGAAGGCCTTTGTCCCTGAAGTGAGTAGCTGGACTCCAGAATGCCCAAAAGGCACCATGTAAAACCTTTGATATTGCTCTTGTTTGATTATTTTATTACCTTAACATCTTTATTTCTTTATTTGAAGGGCAGAGAGACACACAGAGACAGATTTCTCCCATCTGCTGGTTCACTCCTCAAATGCCTGCCATAGGCAGGGTTGAGCCTAACCAAAACCAAGAGCCTGGAACTCAATCTGAATCTCCTCAGTGGGTGGCAGGGACCCAAATACTTGGGCCTTCACCTGCTACTTCCCAGGGTGCCCATTAGCAGGAAGATGAAATTGGAAGTGAAGCTGAGGCTTCAACTCAGGCTCTGATATGGGATGTGGGCATCCCAGCTCTTATTTAAACATGAATCAAACTGTGTAGTTATCTTGTTTCAGCACTACCCTAAGTAGCCACAGCTGTTCACTCACAGCCGCCCTGGGACCCAGGTACCACAGTTGTCTGCATTTCACAGGTGAGGACACAGCTGAGATGGGCTCAGAGACACAGTCCCAGAGCCAACAAAGAGTCCAGGCTGGCTTCCATGATTGGGTACAAGAACACCTGTTCACAACTATTATACCTTAGTATATCCCAGAAGGGGAAAACACTGCAGAAGGCAGAAAAATTATCAAAAGGAGATTTCAGAAATGTGAAGTCCAGCCGAGTCAATGTTATGGAATAGACACATTGCCACATTGCACTGAGCCGGGGTAATAATTGACATTCGTAATGATAAATGCTTAGATCCCAAAGAAGAGGCCAAATCTTTTCCACAATGATCTCTCTACCTACTGAGATATGTTTTTAAAGACACTACTTGGAAACGCAACATTTTAACAATGTGAGTACCCCAAAAGCTGAAAATAAAATCAGTTTTGGTAAAGCCCCGGGAACAGGAAGACAAGCTTTCTAGAGTGCTTTATTTTTGACTAGTTACTGTTTCCGTGCCTTTCCGCCTGCTCCTGGGTTCCAGAGTCTCTGTTCTCTGATATCTCACCCCAGAACAAAGGTTGTGGGCCATGGACTGCCTCTACCTCCTCACTGGGCTGCTGCTCCAGAAACGATGACAGTAATTTATGAATCACCCTGCACGGTGCTCAGGGTGCCGCACACTCGACGCTGTTGCTTTGCATCCATGGTGGCAGGTAGAGGGAGCGGCTTGCAGTAAATATCAGCCCTTTCATAAATGCACCATGAGAATGAGAGGAGGGAGGTGGTCAGGGGATGCAGAAGGAGAGAGGGGGAAATCACGCCTTTGTCTGCAAGGGGAAGGCTGGAAGGCGCTCTTTGGGTCTGCTGAGAGACGGGGTGAGGAGGAAAAGGCTTCTCTTCCCTGCTCCCATCTTCTCCCATGCCCTTTATTTTTTTCTCTCTTTGTAGAATAATATAAAATAAAGAAGCCCAGCAGAAAGGAAGCTGTGCTGCTGTCGTCCCTGGCGTTGATGTTATTTATTTTCCTCAGTTGCTGCTCTGGAAGCCCGGAGTTGACAGAGCGGTTTTGTAGAATAGAAACATTATAGACTGTTACTGTCAGAGTGTTAAATGTGATGGATAGAGAAATAGGGGCAAAGGAGGGGACTTAATACTGAGAGCCAGGGTGCTCATGGGAAAATAAACCATCCGCATATAAGAAATGAATGAGGTAATGTGGCGGGAGGTAATGGGCTTTCGCAACATGCCGGAACAGAGATGCTTATTACAGGGTGTGCTTAACCCTTGGCATGCTGCGTTCCCTTTGTGGGTTCTGGGGCTTTCTTGCCGGGTCCCTCAGGGGGAGCATGTGTGTGGCTATCCTTCAGCCAGGGAAGCTGGTGAGCTTGGAGGGCTGAGCCAAACGTGTTCTTAAGAATGCTGGATTAGCAGCCTGTCCGTCAGGGAGCTTGGCAGCCCTGGAGGGGGCCGCAGGACCCTGTGGCTGTGTGAGACAGAACTTGTGGGGGCATCTGGGTGAGGAAAAAGCAGGAGGGCAGGCACATCGAGGAGCCAGGCAGCTCTTGATTTCTCCCCTGTAGACTTCAGAGCAGTACTTTGGTTCCTTGGTTCCCTTTGACCCCCAAGGGTTCCCTGCCACCCTGTGCAGTAGATGCCTTGCTCTTCACCCACTGATCAGAATGGAGTGGTTTCATGGTAGGGTGGGAGGACAGGAGCAGATTGAGGCCATCTCTGTCACTTTCTTGACTCATTGGGTGCCTGCTGATGACAGTGAGACCATGTCAGGTGGGGACCCTGCAGCAGATGGCACAATGGAAGGACTCAGCCAGCTTGGGTGAGGTGAATGAAGTGAGTTAGGTGGCCAAAGTATTGTGATTTCTGTTGTTAATCAAGAAACAGTCAGTGTGTTTCAGGTGATATGGTAAAGAACTTCACCCCAGAAATAAAGTTTGTAAGCCAGCAGCTTCACATGTCCCCCCCACCCCCCAACACTGCCATTCTTGTTGGATGTGAAAGGGTGTCTCGTTGACTCCACTGGTGGTTAAAGCAGCAAGGACATGACCTTGGCCAGATGCTTATATTGTTGGTGCTGCCTTCATGTGAATCTCACATATGCATGGAGGCAATCACTGAATACCTGTGGCTCTCTTCCCTTTCCTCTTTTAAGAAACCACTGGATTTTACAGTTGGGAGCACCCTTAATGAACTTCCACCATCGACCTTGTTTTAATTTGGGAAGTGTTTCCTACTGAAACACAAACTCCAGCTCTAGGAACTTTCCCCAGACCTCTTCCATCCTCCAAGATCAAGCTACTGCCTATGAAATCACGCCACTGAAGTCCCTGTCCTTAATGTGATGATTGGGCAGTCAGTACCCATCCTGAGAATTTTAATTGATAGCTTGTGTTCAGGACGCTTAGTGTTTCCATGGGAGCAGGAGGAGCTAGGCAAGCTGGCATCATTAGCTTTGGTTTGGACATTGCTCCAAGACTCAAGTTAACATGTGGTGCCCACTGGTGAGGTGAGGGGCCATTCTCATCTCTTTGATGCCTCCTCCTATTTCTGCTCCTCAGTCATGGGTCTACACCTTCCAGGGAAGGTATGTTCCATGTTCTCTCCTTGCTCATACTCCCTATCTGCTCCTCGGTTGCTTTTGTCATTTCTATCCTCTGTGTATATCTAGTTTCTATCCATCATTCTAACTCTGCTCTCTCTCTCTCTCTCACTTTTCCAACAGCTATATCTTGCGTTGGACTTCTTCTTGCATTGAACTTCTCTTTTCCAACAGCCACTTCTTTGTGCTAATACATGTAACAGCTGGCTGATATTTTGTTTTTTGATATTTCTCTGTTTCACATGAAGATACCTTGCTTTTCCAAAAATTTAAAAAATTAAAAAATTTTTTTTGACAGGCAGAGTTAGACAGAGAGAGAGAGAGACAGAGAGACAGAGAGAAAGGTCTTCCTTTTTTGTTGGTTCACCCTCCAAATGGCCGCTATGGCTGGCATGCTGCGCCAATCCAAAGCCAGGAGCCAGGTGCTTCCTCCTGGTCTCCCATGCGGGTGCAGTGCCCAAGCACTTGGGCCATCCTCCACTGCCTTCCTGGGCCACAGCAGAGAGCTGGACTGGAAGAGGAGCAACCGAGACAGAACTGGCACCCCGACAGGACTAGAACCCGGAGTACCAGCGCTGCAGGCAGAGGATTAGCCTAGTGAGTCGCGGCACCAGCCGATTTTTAAAATTTTTTTGAGAAAAGGGGTATGTTCTTTTTTGTTTTCTTATACTTGACATCACACTGCCCTCTTCAATTATCGGTCATTGTTTTCATTGTAATACTTCTATAATATATAGTTTTCTTTTGCTTGTATCTGGTTTTCCTGCGTCAATTAGCAATTTCTTATGGAAAAGGGCTTAGGTGTCTCTTGTCCTAAAGCATCTAGTATATAGCAGTTCTTCAAACTATTGACAGTTTTTAACAGAAAGGTTCTCTTCTACCCTTGTCTACTTTCCATGTTCAGCCTTGAATCACTAGAATGAATAAAAGCTCTGTGAAACTACATGTACGGTGTTACCAAACTGTGACAGGATCATGACAATAATGTGGATATATCCAAGTATGAGTAGCTCCAAAGATTGAGATGGGTCTAAACGTTTAGAATGCTGCATAACACCTGATAGACCTCATATGTTGTTGCTTATGGTAGTGGTAATAATGAGAGTTGAGAAATCGTGGTAAGTAGTGATAGTAGCAATAATGCCTGATGCTCACTGATTAGCATGTTTGATCTACTTATATTTCAGCACAGTTCTACATATTTATGTAATGGACAGAATCTGTAAGGTGAAGAACAATCATATCAAACAGGAGTCTACCTTGGCTAGTGGAATTCTTTTGATCTGCAAGTTCAAAAGTTGCAACCCCATTATAGTGTCTCCTTGAACTCCTCTGCAGTCTCAGGAGATTCCCTGGAAATGTATCACCATAAAAATAAATTCATTTTGGGTTCATGGGGAAGGTATATTTTAAGATGTGGTAAGGTAGTCATGTTTAAAATTTACAAGAGAACGTTAGTGCAGTGGTCTTCCATCTTTGAAAAAATGGGGTATAGGAGAGAGGGTTTGATGTAGCTAGTTTGGATGCTTACATCCCATAGTGGAGTGCCTGGGCATGCATCCCAGCTCCACTCCTGATTACAGCTTCCTGCTAATGTGCACCCTGTAATGCAGCAGGTGATGGTTGAAGTAATTGGATATCTGCCTTCCCTATGAGAGAACTCAGTTGAGTTTCTGGCTATTGACATTGTGTGGGTATTTGAGGGAAGTGAACCAAGGGATGGAAGCGTTTCTCTCTCTCTCTCTCTCTACCATACATAGATTAAAATGTTTGTTGCTTGAACTGGACAAGGAGAAGGTATCATACTGAACATTCATGGAGATGGTGCTAATGAGGAGACCAGACAATTCTGAGTTCAAGCTCAAGCCTTTTCCCAAGTCACTGAGATCTGAGTGTACTCAATTTCATGTTCATTGCCTCGAGCTGGTAGAGTGGCTGTGTTTATAGACACTAGTTGCCACTTACCCTTCCACACCTGAGCTTCCACGTTTGCGTTGACTCTTTTTTGAGTTGGCTGACTTACATTAGTGTGAGTGAGCTCTATGAACATTCACACAAAACTTCAAAATGATCATGGAAAAATTAAGAAATAAGTTTATTTTGGTGCAAAACATTCGAAACCCTTGCATAATTATTTCATAGTATGCATTTCCATGAACTTTTTGAAGACCACTCATATATTATGTGGGTATATGCACATATGTAGTATCTTCCTGTGTTTCTATGATTTAGCCATCCTGTTCTTGTCATCTCTTGGAGAGATGGTTTATTCCAGAGTATATGGATAATTTATTGTGCCTGTCCTACTGATATCCAGACATGTAATATCTTCTGATTTTTAAAAACCTGATGTTGGCAAATATCAATTCTTATTCTTCTCTAATGTTTTTTTCCCTGTTATTTTAAAAAGTGGAAGGCAAAGAAAATTCAGGATGGTTGTGTAAGAGAGAATATATTTAGTATGGCTGGTTTATATTAATGAATTATTGGGTATATAGGTCCATTATTGGGGCTGGGAGAGGGAGAGCAGGAGACCCCCTCCCACATACACACGCACAAATACACATGCACAAGCAGACACACACACACACACATACACACATAAAATGGCTGTTTGTTCAGCACCATGATCCTGAACCCATTCATTGGAGATGACCGCTTACCCGAGCCAGCCCAGGCGCAGCCCCCGTCAGTCATAGCTGCAGCTTGACTTCCCTCCCTGGCTGGTAATCAGATGCTGGGAAATTCTGCTGGCCGGACTCAGCTTTCTGCCTGAACCAAGGAGCAGGGATACTCTGACCTGGGAGAGAGTTCGGGAAGAAAAACGGATGATCCCTCATCACCCCTCAACCCCCCTTCCTAAGCCCCTTCTCCACACAGATCCAATAGCACCCAGGAGAACCCACCTACCATGTTCAATGGGCTCCAGCATTCAGGGCAACTTTCCTACAAATCTCTTTTTATTGGCATTTCCTCCAATTTAACCAGCCCTGAATTGCATTTGAATCAGTTGAGAGAAAGAGAGGGAAGGAGTAGGGAAGAGGTTCCCCCCCACCCTCTTGGAAAGCAGCTCACAACCAGCTTTATTTGGTAAAACGCTGCAATAGATGCTTGTCAGAAATAATTTATTCCTGTTAGCTGTAATCTGAAGGAAAACAGATACAAGTCCTATAGTTAAAAAAAAAAGTAAAGTAGTGTTGCTTTCGCTGACAGTACAAAGGTGTCATATACAAGAAGGATTGACACAGACCAAGGGGTCTTGTGGGAAATATGATAATAACTATAAAGAAGACAGATTATTCCCCAGTTGCCAACATTCAAACCTTTTTACAGTCAGTTCAAACATATAAAACTTTATTGCTCTAGCAGAAAGGGGAACAATTTCTGGTTGCACAGCTTTCCCAGGGCTGGGTTTATACTGTCTGTGTTATTGCTCTATAGTGGCATTTTAAAGTTTATTGAACAAGACTTTTACAATTGAAGGAAGTATATAAAACTGTAAATTTATTAGATTTTTCAGGATAAGTGCCCTTTCTAGTTGTGCTCAAGAATTCGGAGCTACGAGAAACTGCTAGTTACAGGACTTATTAATATTAAAGACTGAGAGTGTGCACATTTTATACCTTAACTGATCTCAAAAATAATATTATTATATTACTGTACGTCAGAGCTCGGATACTTGGAATTGGATGGATACACACATATAGGATTCTAGGCACCAGATGTGTTTATATTTCACTGGTAAAAAGTTAGCTTTTGTCATATCTTACTTTATTTGATTGTAACACAACCGATCAGGACACTCCTCTCTTCATTGAAGGGTATCTTGGGGTAAATTTTTTTTTTTCCTGAAACCCTGGCTGGTTTTCCTACATTTCTCAGTGTATGGGTATGATGCCAATACAGGTGATAAGTTTTAAGAGTCCATTTTATGACGAAGTAAGATATTATAGCAACTATAATTTTGATCATCAAAATCCTAGTAAAAAGAGTCCTTTTCCCCTCCCCTTCTCATTTTTCATTTTCTCACAACTTTTTGGACATGTGACTGGGATGAAACTGTGATGCTCATGACCGTCTGTACTAGGGTTTCTGACCCTTCACCGTGTGGGCTTTTTGGGGCCAGATAATTATTTTTGAGGGACTGCTATGTGCACCGTAAGACGTTTAGCTGCATTCCTGAATTCTACCCATAGATGCCAGTGGTACCCTCTTCCTGTACTGTGGCAATCATAAAGGTTTCTAGACGTTGCCAAATGCCCACCTTGGGAGGGGGGACAAAGTCATGCCCAGGGTGAGCCACTCTCCATGACAGCAGTGTCATGTCTGGAAACAGTGCAGTCCACTGTAAATAAATACTACAGGTTGTGTTTGAAAAATTGCTTAAGGGGCCAGCGCAGTGGCACAGCTGGTTAAGCTGCTGCCTTCAGTGCCAGCATCCCATATGGACGGTGGTTTGAGTCCCTGCTGCTCCACTTCCAATCCAGCTCTCTGCTATGGCCTGGGAAAGCAGTGGAAGATGGCCCAAGTCTTGGGCCCCTATACCCACATGGGAGACCCGGAGGAGGCTCCTGGCTTCAGATGGGCACAGCTCCAGCCATTGCGGCCAACTGGGGGAGTGAACCAGCGGATGGAAGACCTCTTTCTCTCTCTCTCTCTGCCTCTCCTGCTCTCTGTGTCACTCTGACTTTCAAGTAAATAAACACATCTTTAAAAAAAAATGTTTAAAAGCCCTATTATTACCAAGCAAGATAGGTTATAGAATTGTTTACTTTCAGAATTATCTGGCATATACTTCTTTTAATCAAAGATCTATTCCAAAGACTTTCATATAGCTCAGTCTTTACAGTTTTATGTTATGTGGTACATTTCATGACCATATTTCTGTATAAAAGGAGCTTCCTTGTTTACTTAATTCTAAAGGTATATATTTATGAGTGTAGCTTTATGAAGCTGGGTTTCATATCTTTTTTATGTTATCTTGTGGTTGACCATGGATATGCGTGTGCCTTTTTGCTTTTTCACATGCATATGCAGAAATACATTTATGTGTACACATTATGTGACTAACATGGAGAAGGAATTGAGAAGCCCAGAGATGGTTTTTATTACAATTCTCTCATTTGACAAGTTTCATGTTAATGTATTATCAATACTATCAACTTGTCTTTAATTTTCGAGTTGTAGTCTAGAAATTTTTAACCTCTTGAGAAAGTTTCAGTAGCAAATACACAAAACATTCAAGGAAGTTGATTATAGCACCTGTTCACTTTCATGCCACCAGTTGTTATGCAAATACCTGTGTGTGTGTGAATAGCACTTTGATCTGGAATTCAGTGCTAATTTGTCTAATGGCCATAGCATTTACTGAAATAATTAAGCTAATATGTTTTCAAAAGAGATTAAATTATAATAGGCCTTTGGTTTTTGACTGCCTAAGGTTTGTAATCTATCCTTTCATATATAAAGTAATTCTAGGCACTTGAAATTTTAATAATTTTAATAATCTAGGCATATATTTATGTGCCTATTTGTGAAACTGGATTTCATATCCCTTTTCAAAATTTTTATTTATTTGTTCATTTCAAAGGCAGAGGAATAGAGACAGGGAATCAAAGAGAGAAAGGGATCTTCCGTGCTCTGGTTCACAACCTAGAAGGCCACAACGGCCTGAATCCAGGAGCCTGGAACTCCATGCAGGTCTCTCAGATGGGTGCCAGGGGCTCAAGAACTAGGTCCATCATCTCCTGCCCTCCCAGGTTCATTAGCAGTGAGCTGGATTGGAAGTGGAGCAGCCAGGACTTGAATCAACCCTCCGATACAGGATGCCGGTGTTTCAAGCAGCAGCCTAGCTACACCGCAGCGTCAGCCCCTCATATTCCTTTTATATTATCTTATGATTAAAGGTTTGATTACAGGGTTGATAATTAAGGGGATGATTCCTAAGGGGTATCTTGAAAGGAAAGTGCCTTAGTTCTGTTATTTAGTGGGGCCGGCACTCTTTTCTGCCCCGTGCCTCTGATGGCTGTGTAATATTAACCATATGACCATTTGTCTTTTCTCCTCTTTTACCATCTTTGTGGGTCATTTGGCTCCTAACCTGTAGGCATATAAAAGAGTTTTCTTTTGTGGAGATGAATGACATCCTTCTAAGTATTCTGTATCTCCATATATTGACTGAATGTCTCTCTGATTCGTTGGAGCTAAGTTTTATGGTTGGAAAGGAAAGCATTTCCTGCTGGTGGGTTTGGCAATGGACCTTAGAGAGATTCTTTTAGTAAGTTGTAAGATCCATTCACAATCACTCCTTTAGTTGTGCCTGGTTCCTTCACCTTCCTTGAGTTTTCAAACAACTAATATCCATATCAGTGTGTTATTCATGTTGGAGAGCTGTGTCCCACATGGATTCATGGAGTCTGCACACTTAGCCTCCTTTCTTTGAATGTGGGCCATTGGAGGGCGTGCTCAGCCCCTGTTGGTGAACTGCCATCCCTACAAATTATAGCTTTAATGCTGTACAGGGCTAAATAATACAGTCTCTGATTTAAATAATAAAGAGAACTAGGATTTAAACATACTGAGACAGGCACAAGCAACCTCAAACCCACTCACAGCAAAGGGTGGGAAATCTTAATCAAGCCTTGTTAAGTACCACTTCCAGGTACCACACAGGAGGCAGCAGGAATATTATCTTAGAGAAAACAACCCAACCAAACAAAAGAAGGCCCTAAACAAAACAAGAAACCCACCCCAGTCCAAATTCCCAGGAAAGATTCAGTTTCTGTGTTCATCTTGAGTCAGTGGACTATCCCAGCAAGTTTGCCACATGCAGCAGTGAGCAAAAGGACCCGTGGACTTTGAGAGGCTGACTGGACATGAGCAGGAGCAACAAGAAGCAGCCTGTGTGAGGGAAGTCAGTAAGTCCTGAATCTTTTATGCGACCTTGGATATTCTGATCACAGCTCCGCTGACACCAAGATTGGAATACAGATTATGGGAGGGAGTGTCCATGACAAGAAGCCCAGGCTTAAATCTTTCCAAGGTTTTAACAGGCTTTGCCATATGAATATTTTGTTATTTTCTATGGCTTGTCCCCACAGGATGCCAGGAAAGATATCATTGACTAAACCAGGGCTACAGTGTATCTAGAGATAGGAGAGATGAAAATGTGGCTAATGAGACTAGCCCCATTGTGGAGTGTGTGTGTGTGTGTGTGTGTGAGAGAGAGAGAGAGAGAGAGAGAGGGAGAGGGAGGGAGAGGGAGAGAGGAAGAGGGAGAAACCTAAATGCCCTGTGCTCCTGTGCTCCTGCCTCATCTGAGGCCCTGATGCTAAAGCCACTGGAGCTGTTTATGAATTCACTGCAGCTTCATAGTAAGAGGAAGGAAAGAGAATAGGAAGATACCCCCCCCCCCCCACTGAATGAATTTATGCCTAACAGCTTTTCTTGGAAATGCAAATGGGTTTCACAGTCTCCACACTGTGACACATTTGGGGGGAAAAAGGCAAAGAAGAAGAAATGCAGGAAAACCCTGGAGACCAAGGGACAGTAGGGGGATGTGACGGTGAGGGTCTGCTGCTCCCAGAGCAAGACGCCCTATGTCCTACTAAAATGTCGCTGGAGACAGGAAAGAGGTTTCTGGGTGTTAGGCCTTAAGGTGGTTTGATTTCGAACTCACTTGGAGATCCCAGTGAGGACTGTGAACCAAGCATTCCTTAGGTTGCATCATCTTGATTTGAGACATTGCTTTAAGATAACGGCGTCGGGCACCAGGGAGCCATAGGCACCTTAGGGTCTGGACCAAGGTCCGCAGAGTGCTGGACAGCAGGCAGCTTTGCCAGGGCATGGCATGCTATGGAGCTGATGGCTTGGACCTGGCTTTTCCAGTTGTGTCCATGACTGGTAGGTTATACTATCTCGTAAGCTGCTTGCCTGTCAGTGAGAATGCACAGACTGCCCCTCAGCCTGGTGATGCACACCACAGGATTAGAAGGCTGGATGACTAAGTGACCGTTGGAGTCCTGTTAAAGCAGAGATCAGAACCCCAGGTTCCTGGTGGCAGCCTTTTCTTTCTCCAGAGGAGGTGGACTGATAGAGTGAATAAGGGGCACAGATGAGGATCAGGGGATAGTCATTCATTAATTGAGAAATATTTATCAGGTGACTATATTGTGTGTCGGGAGCAAGACTAAGTGTTTTTTTTTTTTTAAACATATACAATCTTCACTACAAATCCATGGCACAGGCACTGTGAGTATCCTCATTTTTGATATGGGGAAGCTGAGACTGAAGAACTAACTGAGGCATAGTTAGGAATAGGTTTTGAATCCAGGGATTTCCGAAGTACTTGGCCTTGAACACCCATCTGGGCAGGTTTGGGCTGAATCTGTTCCATCATTTCATTTAGTGCTGACTGTATGCAGGTACTGTGCTAGGTGCTGAGGGTACAGACTGCAGGGAGACAGTCCTTCAGGTGCTCAAAGTCATGGGGACATCCAAGCAAATCAACAATGGCATTTGCCATGTTGTCACAGATGCTCTGAGAAGACTGGACACAGCCCTGATGGGACCTGCCAGCCCTCAGTGAAAGCAATGCAGCAGAGACAGGATGCCTGCAGACCACCCAGCTTCTGACGGTCACCTTGTCATCATCTACGGCCCTCAAATTTCCGCCTGCCTCTGTTGTGCGGCATTGGCAAGTCAGCCTTCTTTGTGGACCAAATGGGAGGCAGGGTCCTTGGAGAAATAGGCCCAGCTTCTTATTTCAGGAAATCCTCCAGTCTTGTGAGCCTGAAATTGTAGAAGAACAAAGCTGGGTCCATTGAAACAGAAAGAATAAGAAAAACAAAAATAGAAAAAGGCAAACACTTTGAATAAGCGACTGCTGAGCCGCCTCCGAAGTTGGGGGGGGGGTTCTCATGTTTCCAGGACATTTTCAGATTCTGATGGCAATTAGGAAAAGGATTGCTGTAGCCTTGAAGCTTTGTCAGGGGGTGGACCACCCACGGCAGAGCCTCTCGCACAGATCTGCTGGCCAGTCTCTTGATAATACTGCAAGGCAGCCTAAGCGGTGTTTTGTTGGAAGAGTGGAAGAGCTAAGGCAGGTGTTGAAAAGCCATGAAAAAAAAAAAAAGAATTAAAACAAAAATATGCCTCCGGCTCTATTCAGTTGGCAGCAGAATTGCCATCCCTTTTCCCTTTTGAAGTTGATGTTATTGCAGGAGCATTACCACAGTCCCAATTTCGCTTCATAGCGAAATAGCCTAAGTCATCTCATGCCAGGGTGCTCCGTCCATCCTGTGGGTTGGGTCCCAGTAGATCTCCGGAGGACTGGGTGGAGATGGAGTGGGTGTCTGAGCTGCTCACAGGCCCCCAGAGGCTGCTGAGAAAGGGTTCTCCCTGGATCAGAGGGTGCTGAGGGCCCAGGAGACCCTGAAAGTACATGGATACAGCTGTGAGCGCAACACTTGGGTGTGAATCCTAGAAGAGTTTTGAGAAGTAAATGAGCACATTTCTATAAAGGGTTTAGATCAGTGTCTGGTACACCCACCAGTGCTCAATAAATATTATCTATTGTGGTTGTTTCTTCCTGGACAAAGCCATAGCATCTTTCCTGTCTCTGCAGAATTGGAACTAATGTCAGGGACAGGCAGGGAGAACATTCATGTGTCACAGGGCATTTTCTTGATTCACTCACCTCTTTTCCTGCCTCTTGTCCTCATGATGGAAAAGCCCTTAGAAGTTGCATCTCAATTGTGGGATGTTTCCCACGCTGTCGAGTTTCTTGAGTGTATGCGTGAGCCCTGGAAGGTGCTGGCTGTCTAGGGTGAAAGGAAGCAAAAACTTGGTGGTCTAAGGAGGAAAACAGAAGAGAGTCAGACAAGAAGAGCAAGTTGAGGGCGTTTAATTGTTTGGAATATTGTGGGACATGAATGTAGGATAGAATGTATGGTGACAGCCAGGTCAAGGTGAGGCTCTGCTCCTTCTCTTCTGGGGGGGTCCCACTTGCTTTCCTTGACCCCCATCTGGCCAGCCAGGTGTGAGCCATGATATCACAGAAATAGTGGCAACGTGCAAAGGGAGCCTGCTGCTGAAAGCAGAGATGCTGTCTCATACTGGACTCTCTTGCCATCCACCCTTGCTCACCATTCTTCAGCCCCATTCCTACCACTTTGTTTCTGGGGACACACAGTGGGGGAGCAGGATGATTCATCACTGTGTGGAAGAACAGGGTGGCTGCTGGCTTCGTGCCCACAGCAGTGACCCAGGGCTGAGCTGTCAGCAACCTAGACCTCTGCTGACGTGGAAGCAGCCAGGCAAATCCTTTCACCCGAACTTTCACCATCAGCAGCTTTCTCTTTTTGTCCGGTCCCCATGTCTCTCCTCCTCAGGCTAGTTAGTTGACAAGCCTGAGAAAGCTGTAGGCCGGGTGTGGCCAACACCCCCTCCCCTCCCAATCCCCACTTGCACAGGCTTGTACACCTCAAGCTTAACCTTGGTTGATGTCTGTGTCTCTGTGTGGAAGGTTGGTGGGAATGGTCTCTATGCTCTATTCCTGAACGCTCATCTGGGCACCCAGAGGCCTGGGGTCTGTCAGATCAGAGTGGGGTGAAGTTATTGAGGCTGAATTGGGGTCTGAGAGCTGAGAGAGCTGCCCTGCTTCCTCTGTACTGTTTTTTTTTTTTTCCATCTGCTTTCATAAGAACATCCGAAGGGTCCCATCTGCCTTTTAGGGAAGGGTCATGCTTGGTGACTGGTAACATCTGGGGTAGGGTCCAGTTCATTATGCCACCCAGAATAGCCAAGCAGCTTAGGCATTGGCAACCAGGGAAGGAAGAAGGGATTTCCAAAAAAAAAAAAAAAAAAACCAAAAAAAGCCCCACTGCCAATCGGGCAGCGCTGTCTCTGTCTGCTGTCTGCAGGCTGCTGCTACGCGCTCGTTACAATTAAAATGAAGTGTCCGTCAGCGGCTATCTTCTCTGTGTGGCCCATATGTTTCTGAGCTGATACTGTCCGGATTATTCTGTTCGGGAAAACGATAACGGCTGTTTATAACCTTGGCAAAGACTGAGGCCTAATCAGGCTGGAGCACATTTTCACCGACTGGCTGATAACAGGCTGTTAGCAGCCTTATCACTGGGGAGAGATAGGCCAAAATAAGCAGATCTGTGAGCGCAGGAGTCCAATCGAGTGGTACACACTCTGGCCCTGGCTTTATTTTTAGATTCCCTTTTCCCGGTTGATATCGGAGGCCCAGAGGAAGGAGGTGGTGGATGGTAATGTGTGCCCCCGTGGGGGTCAGAGTGAGACGGGGTGGGGGAATGTTGATCAACACTCCAGGCTCAGGGTCAGCCCAGCTCCCTGTGCTCCGGGCTCCCTTCAAATGAGGGACAACACGTGCAGGTCTTAGGAGACAAAGGAAGAGGAGTGACTTGTGTTTCCTGGCCTGGTGTGTGGGCCCCGTCGCCTGTTCCGCTCAGCGTCTCCTGCTGTTGCAGTCTCCACTTAGGCAGGCAGGCTTCAGCGCTGGGGTTCTGAAAGATCTGTGTCTTTGCACATTCTCCCCTGCTGTAGGGACTTTTGCTTTCTGTCTCAATCCACTTTGCCTGACATCTTCATGGCTTCCCTCCAGAACGACTAACCCTACCCGACTCATCATCCTCACACATGCTTTGAGCCCAGCTGGTGGGTTAGGCTGAGAGGAAAGGCACACTCACACAGGTCCCGGAGCACAGAGAGCCTGCAGCGTCCACATCTCTGATGCTTGAGGCTCCAGGAGGGTCCCACTAAGTCATTCCCCCCATGACTGACACTCAGCTGCCAGGGAGGAGTTCTGGGTTTGCAGAGAGCTCCAAAGTTTTGCCTTTTGGTGAAGCCTTTATGGAAAGGCCCTTGAACTTGTCCCTGTGTTAGTAACAGGTAAAGCCCAAATCGGGAGCTAGCTCTTGCTTCAAGACCCAGTTCTCCCAAACCTTGACCTATGCGTGGTTGTAGAAGCTTTATGAATGTGAAGTTAAAAGGTGTGCATAGGAGGTCAAGCATGTGATTGAAAGAAGAGAGTAGGGAGGAAGAGTCAATGGCGACAGGCAGCAAATGTCACAGAAAGGAGAGGAGGAAGGGGAGGTATTGTTGGCACTCTGCAGTGAAGAGTTGCAGTTTCTCTGTGTATTCTGCTTAAGCCTTCCTATCCTAATGTGCACTGGGCTTTTCAGCCTCTCTTGCTGTGTCACTCTGCACCCCTCAGGTCTCCTTCCTCCTTCCTCCTCTTGCTTTCCCTGCAGCTGCTGGACTCACTTTGTCTTCCTGAGACTCTGGAGTAGAATCAGGTGGTGGGAAAGAGGGGGCAGGGGCCCCATGCCCGGGGGAGGGGAGGCACTTTAGGAGCACACAGACTGAAGTAGGCACAGAAGGCAGCAGAAAGCATTATTACCATTATCATGCTAATGTATTTACAAAGCCCTTTATTCGTTAATCTTTGAATAGCAGAGCCATTCATACAGCCTGAAATAAGAACCACCTGTGCCTCTAGGACCAAAAACTAAAAATGTTAAGGACAAATGATATGGCGAAGCAGGAAGGGAAAAATTAAATACAAACAAGAAGATTCAATTCCAATCTTTCTGTCATCTAGACCTTCACAGATCTGATTTTACAGCTCACATGTGGCAAAATGGCTAGAAGATTGTCAATTTAAGAGACACCATCCAAGTTTAGAGAACATCTCTAGGGAAAGTTCAAAATGTAGCAAAATTATTAAACAGTCTCTTTTTAGAAACCCAAACTGAGATTTTTCTACACTAATTTCCTTTCTTTTTCTGAAGTGAGTGCTGATTAACCAAATAAAAATGGTTTTGCTTAATACTTTAGATTCACTGTTGAATTCAATAAATGAATATTTTAAATTATCCTCACAAAATTTGGAATAACACAGAAATCTAAAGCTGGAAGGGACCTTGCATGTGATCTAATTCAAGTCTCTCACTGTCTGTTAAACCTTTAATGAATAGTTCTTTACACGTAGGCTAAGCCCCCCACTTGTCAGATCGTACATAGATGGGTTCCATTAGCTTTGGAGCAGTTCTGCTTACGCACAGCTCTGGCAAACACTTAATACCCTGTGTTATGGATGCTTGAGAGGATGAAGGGAGATGTAGGGAAGGCTCCAGTTTTCTTTGCTCTGTGGCCAAGATGGTAGTAAAGATCCCAGTTAGAAAGTCTGCAGAAGAGGGTGTTTTCATATTTAGGTCTGAGCATCTTTTAAGGAGAAATGCAACAGTGGCCAGTGAGATGGAATAGCTTTCATATTCTCTTACTGAGACTTAAGATCTCTGAATAACAGTTCTCTTTCACAATTTCTCTTTCATTCTAACCAGTGAGTCTTATGGTCCCAAGCGTTAGAATTGGATCATCTTAGAGTTAGAAGGCCTACTCTGAACACTGTCTCCTGATTTTGTAGATGAAGAAATTGTAACCCCAGACAAAGTACTGGACTTGGCCAATGAGTCTCAACCGGGACTGGAACTAGTATATCCAACCTTCCTAACTCAGTGCTTTTTCAACATTTTTGATGACTTCATGCTATGATTTAGTTAAAGGATGAAGCATTTAAAATAAATCCCTTAACTGTCCATGCCACTGTTTATTCATCTGTAAAATGAGGATTGTAATTTCCCAATTGATTTTTAAGTTCCTCGAGAGCTGGGACTGTGCCATCCATCTCAGTATTTCCCAGGGCACCTAACTCATGCAGTGCTTACACACAGAGCTGCTCAATAAATCCTGACTATTGAACAGTTGAACGAATGGATGAATATGACTTTTAATTGGTCTTCTCCAATGATGACTCTTTCATTCAATGATTTTTTTTCCCCAAGTTGTGTGCACCTTCTCTGCCATTTATTCTTTGACTGCTTTCAGGAGTAAGCAGTGAAAAATGCTGATGATGGCTGTGGTGGTTGATGGAACACCTCTCAGCACTGCAGAAGTCCGACTGTCACCATGGCATTTTGTTGCTGTTGATTGCTTTCCTGGTGGTTCGTTGTTTGTGAGGACTGGGAGGCCCTAGGGGTCTTGAGAGTCAGGTGGCTTTGAGGTTCTCAATACAAGAGCAGTGCATTCTCAGTTGCCTCGAAACCCTCTCCCGTAGTACTGTGGAATCTGGTCACTTGTCCTGAAGACAGAAAGAGAAAAGAGAACTTATATGGGACCTTACATATTCATCTCACTCAGAGGCCTTAATTTCCTTGTTTCCTGTTGTATTCCAGTGCCTAGAATGACATTCTGATCATGGTAGGTATTTGGTAGATATTTGTTACGTGAAAGAGTAACTGTAGATGGGCTACTTTTGCTAGACTAGTCCGTGCCTTCAACGTGCAGATTTGGCCTGGGTAACTGTTAAGGTTCCCTTCAGGAATACATGAAGCTGTGAGTTGTCTGAGTCTGTTCCTCTTGGCTCTGAAATCTTAGCCAAGACATACTCTTTCCCTCAATGAATGAATGATGCTTATCCCTTAAATTCTGTGTCTTTGGACTTAGAACGTACAATGACAGGATTGTTTGCATCCGAAGCCTCTGCTCATCCCTATACCGGGAGACGCCTGCCCACAAAAGCTGAGTGCCCACTTAGGCTTCTCAGAACATCTGTTCATAGTGATCAGACTCTAAGGCAGCAGATGATACTAGTAGGGTACAGGGGTTAACAAAATTTTAGTTTTATTGGCTCTCACATACTTTTCAGAGGCCTGCGACTGGCATATTTGGGTGACTACATATAAAGACATTTTGCCTATGAATTAGGCCAGCAAGGTGTTTTCAGATCATACAAAAATGGTCTATGTGGGGACAGCCCAGTAGTGTATGTGTGTGTGTGTGTCCATTCACGTGTATGTGTCTATGTATTCCACCCACAGATCTCTGCAAGGCAGTCATCCCCTGCACTAAATACAACATTGTTCATTCTAGGATCTCAGAACTGTACGTAAACATCCAATCACATATGACTATGAAGACAGAATATTTTTTAAAATTAGGCAATTTAGCCCAAGGCAGAATGTGCAGAACAAGCCTGACCTGTTTGTGGTAGCCAGACCTGAGTGCCAGCAATAAGAATGGTGATCTCTAAGCATAAGCATTGTAATAGTGGCAGGTGGCAATGTGACTTTGAGAGGGGGCTCTCAGTCTGCAAGCATTATGCAGCACCTGGGGTGTACCTGGTCCTGTGTTAGAAACTGTTAGAGGGGGAAAAGTAGGCCTAACCATACACACGTCCTTTCTTTCAAAAGCTAAAAAGCATTCCTTCAATTTGTTGAGCACATTCTAGGTGCTAGACTGTTCAATATGGAATGTAATTAAAACATTAGACACTGCAATGCAGACAGTAAGCAGTGTTGGAGACAGAGGGCAGTTGAGTTTCAGGGCTGTGGAATTGGAGAGAGGAGGAGGGGTGATGAATTGAAATATGGGTAGGATTGGAGTCAGCAGAAGGTAAAAGAATGGATATTACATTTTTGAAAAGAGACAAAAAAAAAAAGGCTGGAAGCTCAAAATGAGAATGTCAGTTTTGTAGCAGTCAGTTTTCCTACTGCTAAAAGTGAAGGAAGTGTTACTGGATAGTAGGATGCCCCCACCGGAGGACGGCTGAGGACTAACATGTTAACAGCTGCCAGGGTGAACTGCTCTGTGCTCCACATGCTTGAGCATGGCATTGACATTGAAAGTTCCAGGTTTCATGAGAGTCTGTTTAAGAATAGCACTTGGAGGTGTTTCTTTGGAGACTTCTATTTGCCGGGTGTGTGGTGTGATCAGAACCATCTTTGGCCCCAGAATGGATAGAGACGTGCAAATGCAACCACCTTGAGTGTCCCAGAGGCCCCTCCTCTTCCAGACTGAGCTCTGTCTAGGATTGTCAGGCAGGTGTTCAAATAAATAATGCAGCTAAAAATACTTCCAGCAGCAGCTGGGACTTCCTTAGCTCTGGGACAGTGGGAGTGCAGCATCCCAGCTACTTGGGCAGGTGTGTGTTGGCTCCAGAAAGTTAGAACAAACACACTCCAGACACATCCCCTACATAGACCAGGGCCTTGTTTCCAACGGAGAAACAAAACGAAGCATTTATTTCATCCAGCCTTGCCTGGAAACAGGTGTGCCTTGGCTGAAGGCATCAGAGGAAGAGCTCAAAAACAGCTGAATGAATAGGCTTCCACTAGGGGGAGACTGTGGTTTCAGAGAAGTAAGGGGAAACAGTATTACCTGCTCCTTCACCAGGTCTTGTCCATCACTAAGAAGTGGTATCCTGCATAACCTCAAAGAGATGTGACTGTATTAATAATCATGATGATGTTAATACAGCTCCCCTAGTAAGATTGTTACTTGTGTTTCCATGGGAACATGCCAATAATATGGGATGCTTTACCATTTTTGGGCTCCAAACTTGCCATCTATATGAATAAATAATAACTTGTATTGTTGGCATTGTGCATTTTCAAGTAATTTTGGAGAATCGGGTTCACTTTTGGCAACAGGATCTGTTACTTCCAACCTTTATAGACAGCCATATCTGCCAGTTGGAGCTTCCAGATGATCTCATTTAAGAACTCTGAGGGGCACCAGCATTTTAGCACCTCAGGTTGTGGAACAGTGGGCTAAGCTGCTGCTTGTGACTTTGGCATCCCATATCAAAGGGCCAGTGCAAGTCTTGGCTGTTCTGCTTCCAAACCAGCTTCCTGCTAATGTGCCTGAGAAGGCGGTGGGTGATGGCCTGAGTACATTGGTCTCTGCTCTCTATGTGGGAGACCTGGTGGAGTTCCTGGCTCCTGGCCTCAGCCTAGCCCAGACCTGGCTGTCGGGGCCATTTCATGGGTGAACCAGCAGATGGGAGATAGCACTGCCACTCTGCCTTTCAAATAAATAAATCTTAAAAAAAAAAAAAAAAAAAAGAGAATGCTGAGGATCTCACTTGGAGTGGCCAAGATGGCAATGACCCTCATTTTGGGCACTGCTTCTGTAGGACTAGCTCTAGTATGTGTAGGTCCAAGAAGAATATTTGACAGGCAGGTATATTTAGACTTGGTGTGTCAAAGGTAGCCTTCCTCCACTGTGCTCATGGTTATCACATGATGAGTAGCCACGGGGCACTGACGTAGGAGCACACCAACAGTAAACCCTGAATTGGCTTTGGGGATGAGCCCAGTCCCGCTCAGCGACTTTGTGAAATCCAAGCTGATGACAGAGGTTGCCTGGCTGAAGGTTACCAGGCACTCAGTAATGCTTTTGACTCTTTGACCATCCAGAGTTTCTGTCAGGATGACTGGAGATGTTGCAAGACTCTTATCTTTGTGGTAAGGATTAGTCTTGAAAGAGACATCTGCTTCAGAATTTCAGGTTTTGATATGTAAAAAGGTCGTGACTTGCAAGTAAAGCATGAGTCTTTTAAAACTGCAATTCTAGTCCTGTTTTTCCTGTCTTTGTAGTAAACTGCCCCTCCCCCAAGTTTAATCACACTTGGATTTACTGAAAGAGGAGGAGCTGACCCTCAGGATCTGGCCAGATGACAAGTTTTGGTTGATAACGAAAGTGTTTCAGAATTCTACTCAGCCTTGCTCTCGGGCAGCGACCCCGTCAGATCTCATAAACTGGACATGCTAAGGGGGCCACCAGGCGCTGCAACAGAGATCTACACAGGACACAAACACTGCTCTGTGAAAAGGAACAGTCCGCCAGGGTGGTGTCCCAGGAGCAAGAGTTCCATGAGGAGCCATTTTTCTTTCCACTGTCATTCAGATTTAAATCTGAGGTAGGACTAGGACAAAGTCTCTGCCTGTGTTTCACCCTGTTACGGAAGGTTAGGAAGATGCTGGTGTGATGTCTGGAGTAAAATGTAGAGGGTGGGCCATGATTCCCAATGTAATAAAGTTCTATGACAAATATACAACCAGAGCCTGGACAACAGGAAGTGGTGCCACTTTTACTTGGCCTGGGCATGTGTGAGAGAGCATTCAACTTTTGATTGGAGCTATACATAATTTATTTACAGGAAGCCAGGGAGTAGGTATATGGCATATCAGAATGGCCTCAGAAACTTTTTAAGATATAGGAGTGTTCTAGTTCATAATTTCTGGATGTTGGTAGGCCCAGGCATGTGCATTTTGGGAAAACTCTAGAAGATTCTACACCACATCCCACTAAACTGAAGTCCATTGCTTTAGATTACTCTTCAGTAACATTGTTGTTTTTCTGTGCATGACCAAACCAGTAGTGTACTATTCCTGTCACCAAATTGGGAAGTATTGAGGCTATAAAAAGCATGTGGATCCGCCGGCGCCGCGGCTCACTAGTCTAATCCTCCGCCTTGCGGCGCCGGCACACCGGGTTCGAGTCCCGGTCAGGGCGCCGGATTCTGTCCCGGTTGCCCATCTTCCAGGCCAGCTCTCTGCTGTGGCCAGGGAGTGCAGTGGAGGATGGCCCAAGTGCTTGGGCCCTGCACCCCGTGGGAGACCAGGAGAAGCACCTGGCTCCTGCCTTCGGATCAGCGCGGTGCGCCAGCCGCAGCCCGCCGGCCGTGGTGGCCACTGGAGGGTGAACCAACGGCAAAAGGAAGACCTTTCTCTCTGTCTCTCTCTCTCACTGTCCATGCTGCCTGTCAAAAAAAGAAAGAAAAAAGAAAAAAAAAAAGAAAAGCACGTGGAATCTGCGTGTGACTAAAGTGTGTGTAGGGGGCTGGTGCTGTGGCGCAGTGGGTTAAAGCCCCAGCCTGTAGCACTGGCATCCCATATAGGTGCTTGTTCGAGTCCCAGCTGCTCTTCTTCTGATCCAGCTCTCTACTTATGGGCCTGGGAAAACAGTGGAGGATGGCCCAAGTTCTTGGGTCCCTCTACTCACGTGGGAGACCCAGAAGACACTCCTGGCTCCTGGCTTCAGATCAGCTCAGCTCCAGCCATTGCGGCCATTTGGGGAATGAGCCAGTGGTTAGAAGACCCATCTCTCTCTTCCTCTCTGTCCCTACTTCTCTCTGTAACTTTGTCTTTCAAATAAATAAATAAAATCTTTTTAAAAAAATGTGTGTCTTTGCATGTATATGCATGCATTCGCTTGCTTTCTGAGCTCACGATCAGTGTGTAGCTGGCCTGGTGACATGTGATCAGAGTGATGTGGACATGGCAAGCCTGGGCAAACTAACTCTCCCGGTTTCACTCTGCCTGCAAACAGAGTTAACATCCTCTAGGTAAAGCTCTGAAATCCCACGCTGACCTTTTCGCAAAGCATTATAATCAAGTTGAACATTTCCAGTTTTACCACAAATGCCTGCCCCATGGGAAAATAGTTCCCTACATTTTATGACAATTGATTCTGATTTTGAGGAACTAATTTGTATTGAATGCAAAATGTCCAGCCTCACATGGAAACTGGAAAGTCCCCATGTCCAGACAGGGCCAGCACTGTGTTTTCATTGTAAAGACAGGGGAAACAATGAAAGATTGTGTTTTCTGTTTCAGAAAATCCTTCCTGCATTGTTCTGCATATTTTTTTATTTTTTTTCCAGTCTTGTGGGTCTGATGACCACAGGCAGTTTTGCAGATATCTGGGCTTATGGGAAAATTTACCCTGTCTGGGTTCTAAGCTCCTGGGTGGCAGAGGCTGCTGGATTTTTTTTACTGTTGTGAAGTTGCTGTAGTGCCAAGGTTCCTGATGCAAACATATTGACCCCTTTGAGAGACAGTTGGAAACATGATTGACATTTTATACTCTGCAGGGAACATCAGCCATTTCGTTCCCCACATTCCTGTTTTGGCCACAAAGGAAGCAATGCTCTTGGAACTCTGTGATGTATCCAAGAACCCTGGAGGCTTCTAACTTCATTTGGAAGAAGTCACAGAAACAAAAGCTGGTACTTCTCAGGCTAACATCTGCTGACATAAACAGAAGCCCCTCCAGGTTGCCTTCTGCCAGTCCCCAAACGGAGGATTCACACAGAGAAATGTTGTCCTTGGATCTTGAGCACCCTTGCCTGCAGGCCTAGCTCATGTGTTAGTATGAAGAGCGAGTGGTGTGTGGACAAGGAGGTGGTGAGATGCCTATCAAGATAATAGAACTGCCTGGTGGTGGAGCCGGGCTTGTTTGGCCTGGTGACTTCTGGTCTAAGGGTGCTTCCTCTGTACTGGAACTGTGGCTGACTTGGGTTTCTGTGGTTTCCTGGCTGAGGTAGACTCAGCGTCTGCACCTTCATGGCAGCGTGTGACACATTTTGGAAGCCTACTCTTGGGTGGTGGGAGGGGGCCTCTCCCTCCAAGGCAATGTCGTGATGTTTTTGATAGGCATTATGTTCTGTTTACTTGAACCAGTGAGGAGATGATCGGGCAAGCAAAAGCAAGTATTGATGTCTTAGAAAGGTTTACTGTAATCCCATGAGTGTGTAAGCATTCTAGGGCTCACGAGAGGCTGTGTACTCCCATTTCTGGAATTCTCCCTTTGGCATCCTCATGCAGGGGGCCTTTTTCGAGTTGTGCTTTGTGGAGGAAATGTCAGCTGAGTGCTAGGGACTGTGTTAAGCATTGTTCTTAAATGAACTCAGGAGCTGAGGGTCCCAAGGCTTTCTACTTGAATCCCAGCATGGCCAGAATTCTCTTTATGGTGCTGCTCCACATCTCAGTGACTCCATTCTGTAAGATTGAGTAGGAGTGTATTCTTCCCCCTGTATAGGACTAGGAGAGAGTGGAGGAAGAAAGATAATGACTTAAAAGCAAAAACAATTGAATTCTTTGAGCTACAGCGCTCTGTCCTGAGAGTGCATTTATTTTCTACTGCAGAATGCCTTCAAAAACATTTATCTCGATTCTCTCACATTCCCGTTTGCTGTCATTGGCGTGAAAGATCGAGTTCCCAGAGGTTCAGCCGTGTTCTACAGTTCTGACTACTGGACATTTTAGTTAGTGTCTCATCAGCACCCATCTGTAGCTCCTTCTTTGTTGACTTGGCTCTGGCTTGTTCCATGGAAACTGGGAATCCCGCTCAGGGACTAGCAGGTGCATATGTTCACTGACAATATCTCAGGCATGGGTCCCCACGAAGCTGTCCATTTCACAAAATTGCACTAAGCACCTTTTTTGGTCGTTTAGTTTTTGGTTGTTCTGTTTTCTAGGTACCGAGGATATAACAGTGGACAGAACAGACAATCCTTGCCCTCAAGCAACTTCCCTTTTCATGAAAGGAACAGGCAAGAGGAGATATAGCCTGTATAAAACAATCCAATATCCTATAGAATACTAATGCCTTTTAAACTTGATTTTGTACCTTACCCCTCCAACTGACTCTTTAGCCCTAAGCTCCCTGCCAAGTGGTCTCCTGCCTGGGCATGTCTGGTGACTAGCACTTACAGATATCTGCAAGGCTTATGTTCCGGCTTAATAACTATTTTCTACTATAGAATCTTCCTGCTGCTCACTCAAGCCATAATCTCTTATGCTGCGATCAATGGGTGTGCACCTTTCCCATTCGGATGCTCATTTTTTAATCCCTGCTGCCTCCCTCAGTGTCATCCTGTTCCATTTTTCTTTATAGACTTCCAGGTCTACTGTACCTGCTGATTACTTAGTGGCGAGTGCTGGACATCTCCCTTAATTAATTCCATCGATTTGAAATCCCACAAGGTTCAAGGTCCTTAGATTTCTGAGGCAGCTAAATGGAATGTCTAAATTCCAACCTTTTCCTTCTACAAATTGTTTTGCCACAAAGTTACTGGGCGGAAGTGCTGTGGTTTTATTTATTTGAAGGAGTATATTAATCCACAGAGGGCTCTGCACTCTTACCTGGGCTTTTTGTGTACAAGATAGAGGACAAGAAAATGCTTGCATCTTCCTCCCTCTCTTTCCCTCTCTCTCCTGAATCCCTTTCCCCCCTTCCTCTTCTTCTCTCTGCCCCACATCCAGAACCGCTTCCTTATTCTCTTCTTTCTTCTGATCAGCGGCTTCCTTTGTCACTTACACCCATAATTCTGGCTCAGCTGGGACTCTATCCTAGCAACCAGTGACTTCCAGGTTTCTCAGAAGAGGGGCATAACAATCACAAAAGGTGTAGAAGGTCTGGTCAAGGCTTCTTGTTTTGAAAAGCACCAGCCCAGAGTGTCTCAGCCAAACCCTATGGCAGTGATCTGAGTTATACATATATTATTATTATTTTTTTTGAAAGGCAGAGCTAGACAATGAGAGAGAGAGACAGAGAGAAAGGTCTTCCTTCCGTTGGTTCACCTCCCAAATGGCCGCCACGGCCTTCGCGCTGCTCTGATCTGAAGCCAGGAGCCAGGCGCTTCCTCCTGGTCTCTCATGTGGGTGCAGGGCCTAAGTGCCTCCACTGCCTTCCAGAGCCACAGCAGAGAGCTGGACTGGAAGAGGAGCAACCGGGACAGAACCGGTTTCCCAACCGGGATTAGAACCCGGAGTGCCAGTGCCGCAGGCAGAGGATTAGCCTAGTGAGCCACGGCGCCAGCCATATATTATTTTGTACTACTCCCTGTTAAAGGTGAGCATGGAGTTTCTGAAGGAGAGCCATCCAGTCTGTCTGAGGATCCTACAGTTTGGAGGAACAGCAAACCTTCTGTATACATGGACAGCACTGCAAAGAAGAAAAGTGGTTATGAGCTCAGTTCCTGCATCTTACTTATCATCTTATCAAGACAGAGATGAGGTATGGGAATCTGTAGCTATTGGGAGCTTACCATGTTCCAGGCCCTGGACTAGGTGTTAGACGTATGTGACCTCTGCATGTGAAGCAACTGTGTGAGCCATGTGAGTACCACGAGCTGCTTCCCAGTCCCTTTCCAATCACCATACTGCCCAAGAACAGGAAGTGAGCCTCAGTGCAAAGATGTTTCTTGGGCTAATTCTTGAAAGGCCTGTGTTCCACTTTCCCTGTGAAGCTGGCAGCCAGTGTGAACCCTTCCTGGAAGTTGGCACTCTGGTACACAATGAGTGGGGCCAGCTTGGTTGTGCATGGGGTATTGGCAGTCATCAGAGAGTTAATATAGGATGAGCATGGCTGGTGGGTGATTGGAAGGGGTTGGAGGTAGAGCTACATAGATGAATTCTCAACCCTGTGGTCCTTCCCTCTGTCTAGTTCAAGTGTGTGTGTGGTAGAAGGCCAGGAAGCGCTGTGTGAGAAGGGGCATGGCCTTGTTTAGAAGGACTTTTCTTCCTCGCTCCCCAGGCCAGCCAGGCAGCAGGGTCCTGCACTGCCTGTGGCTGAGGAAGACTCTGTTGCTATGCGCCGGAAGCTTAATTTTATTATTGCTCTCCCCTATTTAATGTCTGTCTCTCAGGCAGCTGGTGATGTTTTAATGAAGCTGGAATTGTATAGTCTGTAGCGCTGGATAATCATAAGCTGCCGAGTCAGAATCAAATTAATAATTCATGAAATTAAAGTGTATAATTAATTTGAACCGTGCAGATGAGAGGAAGGGCCGGAGCCCACAGCCTGGAAGGAGCTGATGTGTGGGGAGTGTTGACTGAACTCAGCTTCTATCCCCAAGCAGTGTGACTGTGCCTGTAGGTTAGGTGTGGCACATGTGTGGTTCTACCTGAAGCAAGGTCCTTTCGCTGAAAAGCAGGGGTGACCTTCTTAGAAGTGCCAAAGCTTGTGAGTTGATTTTGATTCACTCTTCCCTGGCCCAGGAAGAACCGTGTTTGGATAGGAAATGGGACTGTCCTGTGTTGCAGGGTTACAGATCTTTGTGGCACAGACAAGTCCTTCGAGTCTCTTCTGTGCCTTACAGGGATGCAAATAAAATCCAGCAATTCAAGAGTTCTGTTTACCTTCCACAACCATGGATCATATCTCTCCCCCCACACACACACACTCACACACACCACACAGCCACAGCAAATACAAATGAGTTCCTCTGGACAGCAGTGATGATGTGTTTCCCATCTAGTCCCTGGCTCGCAGTTGCTGCAGAAGAGTCTTTTCAGGGCTTTTCTGTGGCTGACAAAGTGCAGAGAAGGCAGCCCCAAGTGTCTCACTCAGCAGTGAGGTCCACAGAGTTCCCCAGTGTTCTGCTGTCTTGTGTTCCTCTTCCAGGCAATGTTGCCTCTTTAGGTGGGAGAAGCAAGGGGTTTGCTTATGAATAGTGTTGTTTATATTATTTGCAGGGTGTTTTACCCATGTGAGTGTTCTTTAAAAGTTTATGGTAAAGGAGAATTCAAAGATAAGTGTGTTTGGGTGCAATGTTTTTGAAACTCATGTGTATTTTTTCATAATATGTCTTTTTCATGAAATTTGTGAAGACTCTCTCGTGCATGGGTTTCATAGATTTTGTGCACCAAAATAAACTTATCTTTTAATTGCATTTTCCACAAAATTTTTAAAGTATCCTAGGAGAGTCAGCACTCTGAATCTATGGGTTTCACATTTATTGGCTTCACCAAATTCAGATTAAAAATTCAAAAACACAAACTGTGGAGCGGATATTTGGCCTAATTGTCAAGATACCACTTGGATGCCACGTTCCACTGCAGAGTGCCTGGGTTCCAGTCCTGACTCTACCTCTAAGTCCAGTGTCCTGCTAATGCATACCCTTGGAGGCAGAAGATGATGACTCGAGTGGTTGGGTCCCTGCCCTCTACATGACAGAACTGGCTTGGATTCTGCTCCTGGATTTGGGTTTTTCCATTCCCACATGTTGTGGACATTTGGAGACTGTTCCAGTGGATGAGATTCTCTCTCTCTCTCTCTCTCTCTCTCTCCATCTCTCTCTGCCTTTCATATTAGTAAAACAAATAAACATTTTTAAAAAGTGGCATCTGTACTGAACCATATACAGATTATTTTTTCTTGGAATTATTTCGTAAACAATAGAGTAGGACCATTTACATTGTGTTGGCCATTATAAGTGATCTAGAGATGATTTAATGTATACTGGAGGATATGTGTAACATTCAAATACTATGCCATTTCACATAATGGACGTGAGCATGTGTGGACATGAGCATTTGTAGGAGTTCTTGGAATGAATCTCCCGTAGATACTGAGGGACTTCTATACTCTGCAAAAATTCTCCGCGGTCCCTTTATTGTATCTTTTCTTCTTTTTTGGTGGTGGTGGGGGAGTCTTTGGGTTTTAGATGACTGAGGCTGTAGTAAACAGAGGGATCTTTGGGTTATGCTCTTCATTCTGAAGTCCCTTCTTGAGTTCAGGGCTCCTTAGCCTGGCAGAGTTCTCTTCCAGTAGTGATGTATAGAAAATGAGAAGGCAAAACAGGAATTGTCAATTGTCCATTCCTCTTTGTCAGGCCTTTGAGAGTCCTTGGAAGCCGTGATGCAGACTAATGGTGTATCAGCCCCCACAGGTCTGTATGGAATTGAGGCTCCATTGAGTTCCTGTCCTTAGGTCTTTGGAACGTTTATTTGTCCCCATCCTGGGGAGGCTTTCTCTGCCTCTGTGTTCACACACTTAACCAGAAACACCAAGAGGAAGCTGTACCAGTGAGATAACTCCTCAGGACTCAAGAGCCTCACATGCAACCATGTTCTGCACACTCATTCTCTTGACTCCTCTCTTGATTGGCATGCTTCCCTTGAACTTGCTTCTGCTTGCATGGCCTTAACTTCTTTAACCCCCTTCCACTTACCCCCAGGTAAGGTTTCAGCCATAAGCTATTTGATTACCCATAAACACATCTCAAGGTTCTGTTTTGCTCTTAGCAATCCTTAAACTGTTGCATGTCTAACATTCTCAGACTAATGTACAAATCAGGACATCTGATGGCCAACCCACACCAAATGCACTTCAGGACAAAAATAATGGCTCTGTTGTGTCTGGTTTCCTATCTTCAAAGTACTTAGTTTCCATGACTAAACCTGCTCTGTGAAATAGCTGTCCATCATTTTTAGGAAACAAAGCCAAGACAGTGAAATAAAGTGACTTCCCCAGGACAACCAGAGTGGTTGGTACTGACTTGAGTTGTTGTTTTACCTCTCAGTTGATAGCTGGTATCTTTGATAACCTACCTCAGGATTTGGAAATGGAATTTAACTCAGAACTTTCAGAATTTCCTTCTTGTTGAATTGAAAGTTTTTGACCATCCTGGATAAATTAGGTGTTCTTCTGCTGGAAATATACTACTGCATGGTTTCTTGTGTGGCTATTTTATCCTTAAGAAGTTAATCAGTTTGTGAGAGGATTAAAAATTATGTAAGACTACTGTGGACCCAGCAGAACTTGTGCACCTTGTTTACTGTGAGCTTTCTCTTTTTACAAGCAAATGTTTGTATCAACCCAAGGTTGCCTCATTGGGTGGAACGGGAGCTTTCTGGAATATATTGATTACAATTTCTAGACACAGTGATCTTTTTTCTGCCATGAGTTTCATGTAGAGAGAACAGAACAGGATGGGAATGATGAGTCCCAAGTCTACTTATCATCTGAATAACTGGACAATGACCCTGCTGGACCAGTTATTTTAGCCATGCAAACAGTGATTAGCTTAGATTGCCATATGATCAGTCTAATCAACCATGTGGCATCCAGCCATAAATATAGCTGGAACCAATGAATTAACCAACAAAAACTGGTCACTTCTGGGCATATGAATAGATGCATGCTGAAGCCATGTCAAGGAATTATATAAACTTATGAGCATGGCCACTTACCTCATTGTTAGAGAAGTGCTGTGTCCAATACCTATTGAATATAAAATAGAGGTGTATGGTATATAAAATATTCATTTGGGGAAAAGAATGACTTCCTAAAATGTACAATGACAAATAAGCCATTCCTCCTAAAAGCAGCCCTGTGCCTTATACTATGAAAAAGTTCTACAGTCTTTCAGAAAAGAGGTTCTTAGTTCTAGGGATGCATCTTGGGGAGGTGCAGTCATCAGAGCCCCTCTATGTTGACTTAGAGATGAGGCCCAGAGTCCATCCTATTGTCCCTTTGTCCAAGAGATTCTTTGTGCTTGCACAATGCAAGACAAAGCCTTCTCTTCAGTTTTCTGGGTTCCTGGCAGCCACACTTTTTGATCACTTTATTTTGGTCAGGTGCTCGAGCAACACAACATTGGTGTTATGGTTTTGCTGGAGCTCAACACAAGCTTGGGCTCTATTAAGTTACAGGCCACTGGGGACAAAGATTTTGACCCTTTAGCAGCTCCTGAATGAGTTATTACACTTGCCCCTTGGCATGCACATAATGAACATGTAATGAAATTCAGTAATTAACTTATTTAATTTATGTATTTGTTTAATGTGTGCCCTTAATGTGTGTCTTATGATCTCAGAAAATATCCACAATTCTGTTGTTTTGATTGCAAGATACTAGAAGACAAGAATAGTGCCCATGTAGTTTTATTTACCACTGACTGTTCTGTATTGATAAAACTACATTTGGTTATAATTCAGAGAAGTACAACACGTATACAAGTTCTCTTGATATAAAGTACAGTTTGTAAGAACTAGCAGAAAGTAAGAGGGCAGATAACTGTCATTTTGTGCTTCTGTCATTTGGAGCAAGGAATTCTAGTTCTTTAGGGTTAGGCCTTTGTCCTGCCACATCACTCATGCAACTGTGGATGGCTTTTCTTCCTAAGGGTGAGAGATTCATTTTGAGTGTTATACACACAGTCACACATGCGCGGTGGTGATGGCTCTTGAGTTGAGTTGGAGCACAGCCAACAGCCCCTTCCCACGCACCAGACACGACTCACAGCCACAAGGTAGCCTCTGCCATAGCTGCCAGGAGGCTCTCTGCTAGGACATGATACAGGTACACTTCTTTCTGTGTGACAGTCCAAGGTCTTTGTTCCCAGTCTCCAGGTGAGCACTTAGTGCTGCTTTCTCCCAGAGGGAGCTCCTGTAAGAACTGACAACCGCTCAGCTGAATGGGAGGCTCCTCCACCACTGATGTTTTTCATGTGATTTTTCTCCGTTCGTTATGCTCCCTACATCGTCTGCTGAGGATATGGGAAAAGAAGCAAATGAAGAAGTAGAGCTAGCTCACTCCTGTTCATTCTTGTGAGAACTGGTGAGGCTACAGTTAACATAGAGAACTATTTTAGGCCTTGTTCCTTGGAGAAGTGAACAAGGAGTCCACAATTGTGGAAGAATTTCTGCATAAATGTGCTACCATTTTCCTATGCAAACCAGTAATTTACTTGTTTTCCAGAAGGGTAGAAGTAATTCATAATTTTCAGAAATTATTTATTATCATTATAACATTTCACCACAGGCAGCAGATAGCCCATTATTCAGAAGTATAATGTATTTTGATTTAGACAAGGCCAGAATAATGAAATTGGAGGAAATGCAGAAAATATGGGTATTAATGTTAACCAAGCCTACTTCGCTCTACAGAAGGAGGGAAGCTCTCTTCACCAAAGAATTGTTTGTTTTCCCCCAAATCTGGGGGTTTTGTTGTTGTTGTGCAAGGCCTCTGGTTTTTAACTTCACAACACCGGTTGAGAGTCCTGGAGTAATTTTTAACTGCAGGATGCATCTCTTGCCCGATGTTTCTCCCCACCCACCGCAACATATTTCAGTTTAAATGGCCTGTTATTTTTTTTCATAGAGCCATGTGTCTGCACGGGTGAGAACTACAGAACAGTCAGGAGGAATTTGATACGCCAAGTGGGTCAGCTCATTATAACTTCCAGGAAACCACAAGATAATTGTAGGGTTACTGCTGGTAGGCGCCGCGGCATTGTGTTCCGCGTTGATACTCTGCTCTGTTCAACTTGCACCCGCCACTCGCCTTTTCAGCGCATCTTATTGCACATCTGAATAAACGTGGTTGACGTGCCTTTTCAAGCTGAATTCTCAGGGTGGCATCCGGGAATCCTTGGCACCTAACCTTAGAGATTTTTAAAGGACAACATTAAAAAGAGTATGACTGGATTCTGTACAGTGAGTAGGAAATTAATCTGACAAAAACCTGTGTCAAATCGTGGGAGTTCTTTTGTTGATACAAAGTGAATTTTCCTAAAATGATATCCTACCGATAGACTTGCTGACCACGAAATGGTAGGATTTGACATACCGAATCACCTTCTGCTATTCATCCGTGTGCTCTTAGTTGGACCTCTATTATTATTTTTTTCTTCCTTTTTCCCTTTCATCATTGTCATAAAAATATTTATTAATAATTTACCTCTGAAGGTAACAATAGATTGAGCCTGCTTTCTAGGGCCTCACAAATTAGCACAGGCTTTTAATGTTGATATATAGATTTCAAACATATTGTGTGACAATATCTATGTATACACAGGCGTGCACACAAACACATATACACACATGAGGGCATTTCAAAAAATTCGTGGAAAAATAAAAGTAATAGATAAGTTTATTTTGCTGCAAAGAATTCAAAATCCATTCAAATGAGGGATCTTCAAAAAGCTCATGAAAATGCACTATGAAAAAACTGCATGGATTTTATTTTTTACATAAAATAAACTTATTTTTAAATATTTTCCCACAAATTTTCAAAGTATTATTTGGCATTTACTGTATTTCAACACTATTTTTAACACTTTTCAGGCAATTTCTTTAACCTTTTAAAAGAACTAGATGAAACCAGTGGATGAAAGACTTTCTCTCCCTCTCTCTCTCTCTCTCTCTGCCTCTCTTTCCCTCTCTGTGTAACTCTGACTTTCAAATAAATAAACCTTAAAAATAAGATAGATGAGGTGTGCGTGTAATTATTATCCCTATTGCTCAGTTTAAGAAGCCTGTGGCCTAGAGAGGCCAACAAACTTGCCCAGAGTCGCACAGCTCTTAAGGGGCGTTTTCAGTCAGTCTGGACAGGCAGTCAGGCCCAGGAGTGAGTGCTTTTATCAGCCATACTCTGCTGCTTCTCAGTGTGAGTATAATAAGCAAGGGGTGGATAATAAAAATAATACTCTCGTAATTATTATTACAGTTATAATCAGTGAACATTACCGAATATTTCCTATACATCAAACATTCGTTGCCTCATTGAATCCTCCCAATAATCTGATGATGTCAATGCCATTATTATCACACTTCAGATATTTAAAAACAGACTTTGTTTCTAATCCAGTCCCACGTTACACCGCTTGTAAACAGCAGAGACCCTTTTTGTTGGGGTAAATCCTGGAGGACTTCCCAACATCTGAAGGTCATGATAAGTCAGGCAGGGAGGGTAGAGTCAGCAAAGCTGGCATTACGGGAGGTCGAGTGTGGCAGGTCAATCGACTGGGTGGAGCACGGCACGGGAATCCACTCCTCATTCTCCAGCAGTCCCAGAGTTGGTGGCATGGATGAGGAAAGTGAATGTGAGGGACTGGCTCACAGCAGGTGTCTAAGGCTCCTGCCCTGTTGAGAAATTACAGTGTCGCGTAAGCTTGGTCAAGACCAGAGCAGGGACAGGACACAGCGTCAAGCAAGCTCCACTGCCTCTGTCCTCCGGTGCCAAAGGAGCATATAAAATAACCATTGTTTCAATACTGGGCCATATTTGCCCTCCTTTTAAGATTAGTCAACAACTGTCTCTGGATAGTGGTATTCTGGATTTTTTTTTATCACCCTATTTTACTGTGTGCTTGAATTTTCTTTGTATATGTATTTGTTTGTTGAATGCTCAGAAATGATGTATGACTAGGTAGCATTCCTCCAGAACAATGGAGAACTCCAGTGATTGTTTTGCCCATGCATTTTGCACGTGTGTTTGTGTGCATGAGGGTGTGTATGCTTGTGTCCATGTTTGTGACTTGCGGGCAACAGGTCACCTGGAGGCTGGACACCTTCTGTGAAAACTCCAGGAACTTCTGTACAAGAGAGTGGCCCACTTGACCTATTTCTGTGTCTTTTGCCTTGATCCTGTCCTCTGCCTGCCTTCCCCCATTAGACATGTTAATGGCTCATATCATCTTCCCTTTCATCAGCCCAAAAAAAAAAACCTTGCTTGGCTTCTCTGATTTCAGCCTGTCACTTGATGAGGTCCCTGCTATTTATATTTTTGTTTGTTAGGAGGGAGGGGGAGAAACATATAAATAAAGCCCAGGCAAACCCAACCACACTGCTGGATGGGAAGGGACTCCCTCATCTATGGCAGAAGGGCTGCCTAACTGGTATTTAAGCAGGGACCAAGAGGTCCACACTGTGAATGCCATTGAAAGGGTTACTGGGAAATGCAAACAAAAACAAATGCAAATGAGGCTGCCAGCAACAGGTAGACTTAATCAGATGCTGTCAGATGAATTCCGCATCTCCCCGATTGTCGCCTCTCTTTGCCTCCCATTCGGAAGCCCTCATCTGCTCCAGATGTGGTTTAATTTACTGCGACTTGGCTAATTACTGTAATTAAGGATTAATTACTGTTAATTACTTTCACATAAACTCAACGCCAGTCAAAGAGCGGAGCCTTATGAAGTCTGCCACAGAAGTGAGCACGGCTCGGCGGCCTGTGTGAGCTCTGCAGGTCCCACTGTATTGCCTGGGCCCCTGCTGCCCGGAAGCTTCTTGACCTTCCAGCATCGCCAGTGGGATGAGAGGCCAAAGGTGCAGGAAGGGTCAGTGCTCAGGCTCTCACAGGGTGTCAACTACTAGGCACTTTCTTACACAGTGGGTGACCAGAAGGACGGGGACAGTGCAGGGGAGAGGCCTGGACAGCGTGCATGGAGATGTGCAGAGCGCCAGCCTGTGCCAGCAAGGGTAGGAGCCAGTCTTGTCTTCCTTTTCTGCTCTTACACTGTTGGTTCTGTGAGCTGCTAAGAAGCCAAAACTTTGGATTGGTGCTGTACCCCCAGCCCCACCCCGGAAGACGTTCACCAAAAGTAATCAGAACAAAAACCAAACAAGCCCCAGGGCACACATTTTTTTTTTTTCTCACTATTGCTTTCCCATCTTAAAAAGTACTCTCATTTTTTGAAGTAAACAATGCATAAAGGAATGGTCCAACACACTGCATGTATTTAATCATGCAACTGTGCACTTAGTACCACCCTAGCACCACCCTAGATACCTGTTCTCTGACTTCACCTGGACTCACACTGCCAGTTCATGTATCGATTTGTTCTAGAGACTTTAAAATGTTTCCCTCTGCCCTTAATGGGCATCTTTTGCCACCAAGTCCTAAGCTGTTGGTGTTAGAGTTCTGACCTCTGACTGGCTGTGCATGGGTCTCATTCTACCCTCTGGCTGGGGCAGTCCCATCACTCTTGTGACTTATCTGCTGGACTGAAAAACTCCTTGATGTCAGACCACGTGTCTCATTCATTGTTGCATACCACAACTTAGTGCTACCCTCAACCCAATGGGTGCCTTCTGCTTGCTGGGCCATGGAACCCTAGATTGTGTGCAACTTTGGTTACCTACCAAGGGAACTTTCCAAGGCCTGCCTTCTTTCCTGTGCCACACTCACCATGCACAGGAGACTTGTCTGTTGGGGGCAAGGTAGGTTTTTGTGTCACTTAAGAAATCCTAGGACTAAATCATTTCAAAATGAGATCCACAAAAAGTCTTTTTGATGGTAAAATTCCAAACCATATGTTGTAGGGACAGTGGGCAAAAACTATATATATGATGTTTTCATTCTGTGTGTTGCTCCTGTTGACAGAAAGTGGCATGGATGCATTTAGGTTAAGTCTGCCTTCACTTTCACTACCTGATACCACTCATGTATTAAAGGAAACTTAATTTGGGACTAATGAGACTTTGAAATTAATTTGGGAGCCAGCATTGAAATGTAGCTGGTAAAGCCATGCCTGTGATGCAGTCACGTCATATAGGCACTGGTTCAAGTCCTGGCTAGTCCACTTCTGATCTTGCTCCCTACTAATGGCCTGGGAAAGCAGCAGAAGATGGTCCAAGTGCTGGGGCCCCTGTACCCACATAGGAGACCTGGAAGAAGCTTCTGCCTCCTGGCATCAGATCGGCCCAACTCCGGCCATTGGGGCCATTTGGGGAGAGAACCAGGAGGTGGAAGACCTCTCTTTCTCTCTGTCTCTCCCTCTTTCTGTCTGTAATTCTGCATCTCAAATAAATAAATCTTTTAAAAAATTAATTTACTAACATATTATAATTTTAATAAGCCTTAAGTTAAATAAATTATAAATGAAAATTTAAGTTTATATTAAATCTTATGCTAATTGACCAACTACAGGAAAATAACTCATCTAATAATTAAAGCATATTTATCTTTTAGTAGACACTTTTGTGTTGTTCTTTGTGAGTCCATAGAAATGTTCTATTAGTTTTTCCTTCGGCTGGCTAATTTTGGTTGGCAAGTGGGTTGTTGAACTAAAGTGTACATATACACATAGTTACTCTATGTGTTGCTATATTGTGTAAGGGTATGCGGGCTCATACTCTTTCCTTTATGTTTGCTGAATGTGATTATAATGGATATATTCAGATGTATGTGATTTCAGTGGGTGTGTGCCTCACAGACAGTGAAAATACATCAGATCCTACTCTTCTACACTTTGAAGTTATCTGCTTCCACATTTCCTCCTAGAATTTAGCTGTCAGACACATTACTGAGAGTTCAGATTCCCAGTGATGGTTTGAAGGAAACATTTTTTGTAAGAAATGAACTAGATTCAACTTCAGTGGATAATTCATTTGCATGTTTAAAATACAGAAAATATAGAAACGGGATTGTGAAATTACTTAGCTACATCCTATTATTTCTTGTCTGAATAATTAATTCACAATTTGAATTTCTCCTTTAAAGTAATTTCTGTTTTGCAAGCCAGCCCCCTCAGGTAATGGGTTTGCCATTACTCACCAAGTAACTCATGAAGTTAGGGATTGACTATATTTTCCCCGATATATGAAATGAATGTAATGTAAGTGGTTCACTTAACAAGCATTTACTGAATGCCTGCTGTGTGTCACACACAGTACTAGGCCCTGAGGATGACACAGTATTAAGTTATCTGTAGTGATAAATTACAGTATGATAAAATTAATAATACACCATTACCATGAGTAACAAATACAGTTTGACATATTGAACATTTTTCTCTTGTGGTCATATTTATGTAAAAGCCTCTACGGCAGGGAAAGGGAGAGCAATGGAAAGATGAAATCTAATAGGACGGTCCTGTGATCTGGAGAAGGAATATTCATATGCTTGTTTTCTGGCAATGAAGTCAATTACTTAAGGAATATCTCTGAAGTATAGCTATGTAGAATAAAGAGTTAATATCATGACACTTTTTCAGGCTGGATAGCAAGAGCTGTAGTGATGTGAAAAGTGAAGCATGGAACGTTCCAACTGCTTCTATAATTCATTAATGCTATTGCAAAAATACACATCTCCAGCTGTCATTTAATGTCCGTGCCTAATTTGTTTGATCCTATATATTCTGCAGTTATTTACATTAAAGTCCATAAGCTATATATGCACTATACTTGTAGCTCCTCTATATTCTAATGACAATACAAATGTATTCCCTATTTGCATGGCCACACTTTTTTTAAAAATACTGCTTTTGTAAAAGTGAACTTTTAGGCAAAAGCATTCATTCAACACTGGCTGTCTAAGAATTTTCTGACAATTTTAGAGAGTCCAAAAATAAATATGTATAGATATATATCATATATCTATATAATGAGATCAAATTATATATTACACATGTATGGAATATGTTTCTGAAGCTCACAGCCCTATTGAAAATATCATCAATTTGGATGTGTGTGCTTGGCCCCACGTGTGTGGAATCACGGAGTTGTGTGTAAGGGCCTCATTGATGACAGGGGGAGTAAAACTGAAAAGAGCAATTGGAAGAAAGAGGGGGAAGGGAAGGGAATAGCAGTGATTAAGCCAGCATTGTTCTGTGTGGATCGGGGCTGCCTGCTATTGTTTTCCAGCACTTGAAGATGAAACATATTCATTTAGCTTTCAGGACGAATGGCTTTAATAAGGGCAGAGCCGAGAGGTGGGGTAACACTGATGACTAGAGAGACCCATCAAGGCTCCCCCTAAGGCCATTCTGTCAGTGCCCAGGACCACATGACCATTAACTCTGCAATCAGGACAAGTTTTCAACATTCCGGGGTATCCTTCAATGGCAGCAAGAGTCATTTGGAGTCAAGGGAAGATGTATATCAGCAGTAATTGGATTCCAGCCAAGGCTCTAGGACAGTATTATCTATGGTGAGAGGATCGAGAGGGGTGCACAGAGCCAAGAGGGTGTGAGGCAAGGCAAGCCACAGCCAGGAGAGCAGCAGCCACTGGAGGCCACAGGCTGGCCACACAGAGTGGCTGGTCTGCCCAGGAGTCACCGAAGCCTGGCTGTGGGTGCCAGTGATTCTCCCCTTCTGGCAGAAACTGGTTTCTGAATATCCTGCAAGACAAAACTTGGGGTTCACCAGATGGGGCTGCCCAGGTAACACTTGGCCAGACAAAGCCAGTTTTAAGGCCTGAAAGTGCCCCATTGAGCATCTTCCCACTGCTGCCCCCAGCTCCTCCCTACACCCTGACTACTTCATTACAATCTGCCTTCAGGCCGGAATTGCCCTGCTTAAGCCTCAAATCATTATAATTACCATTATTAGAAATAGCTGCGGGGGAGGCGTTGGAACACCAAGTAAAAATGTGTGAGTGTGTCCGCTGGCCGTGGAATCACTCCTTTTGGGCTCCGGGAACCACAAGGCAGGAGGGTTCCACCAAAGCCAGCTAATGCGACGGCTGTCAGCTCCACTCACCCCACCTGTCAAGAGGGGGATGCGGTGGGGTTCATTTTTTTAATTGACACCTTCCTCTCTCATTCCACGCTCTCTCGTCTCAACCTAATTCCTCCTTTTATCTTCCCTCTTTTCTCTGAGAAAAATTCATTCCCCTGCTACCCGAATAAAGAGAAAGGAAAAAGCCACACGAAGAACAGCAGCCTATATATTATCCTCCAGAAAATACACAGATCCTAACAAAGGCACAAGTCAGGAAGTGCACCCAAAGTCAGAAAAATAATTGTCAACTGAATCTGAGGCAGACGAGATGGACAGGTGGAGGAGAGAGACATAGAAAGAAAGGCCGGTAAAGCAGAGTGGAAAGAAAAGAGAAAATCTGGTGCAAAAATCAGAGGGAGAGAAGAAATGGGGCCAAGACTGTGTTTCCCACTCTCGCTCACTTTCTAGTCCTGTAAGTGAAGCCTTCAGTTTTAGTCTATTGACAGCAAACAGAGCGGGAATGTGGGGGAGCCAAAAAACAGACAGCAGGTGAATGCCCTTGGTTTCCAGCTCCTGAGAAATGCTTTCTGTAGGCATTCAGGAGGGACTGCAGGGCAAAATGGGATGTGATGCCCCTGACAGATTCAAGGGGGTGAAGGAGAAAGGTGTGTGTCCATGTGGATTCGCCCCCACATTGGTGCCTGAACGCCTCCCGTCCTGACCTCTAGCAGTCCTGAGAAATCTACCCACGATGTGTTTTCTCAACACCTGATGGCAGAAGCCAGTGAGGGAAGCTTCCATGTGCCGCTGGCAGGAAAACTCCTCAGGTCTCTGCATGATCATTTATTTGAAGTCACATTGACGTGAAGTACATCTGATGTCAATAGTACTTAAACTGGGTCAGTCCCCTAAATTAGGATGAGATTAGGAAAATCAGAATTGTTTAGTATTGTTATCTGTCGATTTTTGTTTTTATTTTTGATCAAGTGGAGAAAAAATTTATGTAAGTAGATGCACCTACATTATGTATATAGTTTGATGAGTTTTGACAAATAGATGCTTTCCTCTCCCCAACACCACCCTAATCCTACCGAAAGATTCTCTCTTGCTCTTTAGCAGTCCAGCCTCCAGCACCATCCCTGACGCCTGGTAAGCATTCCTCTGGCTTTCCGTGGCTAAAATTTTATTCTATTAATGAAACTATACAGAATGTAGTCTTTTGTGTCAGGTTTCTTATATATAATCATATATAAAATATATATTATATTACAATTTGTATACACACTTCTAAAATGTAATCTAAAAAATATTCTGAGATGCATTTACATTTTTGCTTGGTTTAACATTTCCTTTTTGTTGTGCACTACTGTTTCATTGTGGAAATCTATTTCAATTTGTTTATCCATTCATCCATTGATGGACATTTGGATCATTTACACTGTGGAGTTTTTGTGTTTTTATTTTTTTAACTTTGATTTTATTTGATAGGCAAAGAGATAGAAACAGAGCTCTTTCATCTGCTAATTCTCTTCCCCAGCTGCTCGCAAGAGCTAGGGCTGAGCCAGACTGAAGCTGGGAAGTCAGAACTCAATCCAGGTCTCCCACCTGAGTCGCAAAGATCCAAGTACTTGAGGCCTCATCTGCTACCTCTCAGGGTGTGCATTAGCAGGAAGCTGGACTTGGAAGGGAAGCCAGTACTCAAACCCAAGCACTGAGATATGGGATGTGGGTGTCCCAAGCAGCCTCTTAAATTGCTACTCCAAACACCCTCCCCAGAGATTGGAGTCATTGTAAACGAGGCTACCATGAACATTTGTGTGAAACTCTGTGTATGGCAACTATTTTCATTTCTGTTGGGTAACTACATATGACTTATTTCCCTAGTCATATAGTAACTATAGATTTAACTTCACAACAAATTACCAAACTGTTTTCCAAAGTGGTTATACCGCTTGTTCTTGAGACCAGAACCTTTCCACACAGGACAAATGCACTGTGATGTGGTATACAGTTATAGAAATAGATATGGGCATCATATTTGTTTTTTTGTGTGCTATAAAGGTGATTTGTCCTCAAATTAAAAAAATAATAAAAATTATGGGTTTGTGGTGTACTGAGTAAAGTTTGAGCCTCTGACACTGGCATCCATATGGGAACCGGTTCAAGTCTCAGCTGCTGCACTTCCAATCCAGCTCCCTGCTAATGTGCCCAGGAAAGCAGTGGCAGATGGCCTAAGTGCTTGAGTCCTTGCACCAGTATGGTAGACTAGGAAGAAGCTCCTGACTGCTGGCTTCTGTCTAGCCCAGCCCTGGCTGTTGTGGCCATTTGAAGGTGAACCAGTGGATAGATGATCAATCTCTCTCTCCCTCTCTTAACTCTGCCTGTGAAATCAATAAAATAAATCTTAAAAAACAAATTATTCTATTTAATTAGCATTAGAATAAAACCTTTCTTAAGAACTACAAAATGGAATGGTTAGTTCATCTAATTGAATTGTGCAGTATGAGTTTTAAGGAAACAAAACCACAGCTATGCTATTTGGTTACCCGTCCTAATTTCTCCACCTTTATACTTGAGTTCACCCTATCCAAGAAACCTTCCCTAAATATTGCCACCTCACTTCTCATTCCTTCCATCCCTATTTTTTATGTAAATTTTACTGCTAGGTAAGCCAATTTGGATACCTTTGTGGCTACTGGGTTATTTCTAGTTGGTGTGATGCCTGGTCTCCTTAGTGAGACCAATTTTGCTATAGTCTCCTTATAACCTGGGGTATGTTTTCTTCTCTTTAGTTATCGTGCTACTTTACAGGGCTATGTACACTATAGGCACTGAATAAATTCTTCGAATATGTGAGCCTCGTCCCCAGGAGCTATAGTTTAAAAACTCACTAGCACTCTCTTTCAAAGGTAACATATCTTAAACAGCATGTCAGGATTCCCCTGGTGTACACCAGTCCTAGACACACACTCACATGCAGTTCAGTCTGTGTGTCCATGACTGTGTAACATCCCACCTACTCAAGTGCCGTAAGCGGTCTCCACCTGCAGCCCCTGCCTTGGAGTAAATAATCATGTGAGAAAGCTCCAGGAATATTCGGTTGTGGGTTTTATTTTTCCACCTTGGCTGCCGGTGTGTTACCTAGCAGGCTGTATTCTACACAGTGCTTGGTTCTCTCTCCCAGCTTGTGGTAAGCTAAATTATTCCAAGATTCAATGAATACCTGCTATTGAGCGGCTTCCCTAACCACCCAAACTGGTCTTTTGTTAGTGGTTATTGAGAGGATTGTCACAGCCATTGACCTACTCAATTTTACTTCAAAAGAAATGAGCATTTTTCTTCCCCTTTCATTTCTAAAAGCAGATATGGCAATTTGCTTAAATTGCTGTCTTTAAAAGTTTAGATGATTATACTTTTTCCCCCTCTTGCCTTTTTTCTTCCTTTTCATTTAAGCAGCACAGTGCCGTCTCTTTTTCTGGGATTGGACACAGTTCCCGGTGTAGCGTTTTTGAAACAGCTCTGTGTGTGTGTGTGTGTGTGTGTGTGTCCTTATACATCCACTTACCTGAGATCTCAGAGACAAAATAAGATCTTCTTAAACTATATGAGTAAAATTTCACATTTAAATTCAAGCATCCATTTTGTCTAAGTCAGAATGATGGAAATTTGCAGCTAAAAAAAGTTTTTAAATAAAATTAAAATGTGTTTACTGGAAAGTCTCCATTTCTTGGTGGAAGACATGATAGCAGCCAGCCTCATAAACTTAGGAGAAATAGGCAAGATGGGTATGTCTTAAAGATTCTTCTGTATGAGGAATAAATGGAATTTGATGAAAATGTGGAGAGAAGAGGTAAAAGGGAGGTAATGTATGGATGTGTGTTTATATTTACATTAATAAAGGGCTATTTTCCCCTCAAGGCAAAGTATTGTGAGACACATTTTTCTAAGACATAGTAGAGACATTGGTCAGTAGTCCTTGTAACTATTTGATATTCGTGGTGTAAAGACCACATCTCTGGAACATGGGGAAGCAATCTTTGGTCTCAGTGGTCCTATAGTGATTCAGAATTCATACAATTCAGATTATGCCCTTACCATTCCAATGGATGCTGAACAGATAGATTATGAATTGCAATTTCTATTAACAAGCAGCCTCTCAAAGCATCTAGAAAGTATTGTATGAGTAAGATATATTTCATGTCCAGGAGTAACAGAATGAATGTGTCCAGGATCATATGATCTTTTGCCCCAGTCATTTAAATATAGTACCTGTTCAAAGAAGTGACTACAGAAATGAATCATGTGTCCCTTTGTTTGTGCTGGTGGGATGGTGGCCAGACTTTCATTTTCACTACTCTGCTGTAATAAATCGTAGGAGTTTTTTAATAAGTCCCCTGGCCATCATTGTGGTTATGATCTGTAGATGAAGACAACGTGTGTTGAGACTGGTGTCCTAGGAGGTGAGTTGGTGTATGTGTTGTGTGTGTGCGTGCATGCATGTGCTCACACACACACATGTGTGCACGCGTGCACACACACACACACACACACACACTTGATTTATGGACCACTGAAGCTGCAATGAAGTACTAGAGTGAAAATCACCAACTTTAACAGTGAAAAAAATGTCGACATCAATTCCAAAAGAGACTTGAAAACCTGCAGCTAACAGCCAATGGTTGAATTCTTTTAAGGTAGAAATTTCTTCAACCTTTCTCAGTGAAATTATATTCCATCTGGAAAATTACAAATTTCTGGGCAAGAAGCAAACTTAGAGTTGGGGAGTTTTTCATGTAACAGCCAAATAAGAAATTCCCACTTCTGAATGTCTGTCTTCCAAGAATTCTTGACAACAAGGATTTCTTTCTTATTCGTGGTGCAGTGGGTTCTAGAAAAATACCAGAATAAAGAAACCCACCGATATTTTATTCTATGTAAGGCAAGGGGAGAAAAGCCCTCAACTACAAGGAATGAATATTACTATGGCTTGGAAGGCCCATCACATATTCAACATTAAGGATCAGAAAACTGGATTTCCAGTATAGGAGTAGACTCACTTTAGATAAATAACCAACCAACCACATAAATAAATGACACAGTGATGGTAATAAATAGGTAATAGCCCAGCTATCCACTTAAGGAAACTGCTATATAAAAACAGATCATTTTTACCTAATTTGGTCTAACCTAACCTTGACTTTTAGAAAAATAAATACAGAGATATATAGCTTGACCCAAAAAAGACCACATGAAGACGAATTTTACTAAATTTGGATATATACAGAATAGAAGTTAACAGTCCTGGTCAGCTTGCTGTTTGAAAATGCTAGAGACATGGTTTCTAAAAGGAACTGTAGGGCCTTTGACAGTGATGAATGTGAAATAGTAATGAATAACTTCATAATAGAGCAGAGATGTCATGGCTTTGCATACTCGGTACTGGACAAAAGCAGTGACACAAAGCTTTGACTTCAATCATATGTTCCTCTCTCCTTCAATAGGGTCAGTCCCTGGCAACCAGCAATGTTAGCCAGAGAAGAAGTTTCCTGCAGGCCAGGCACAGGGGTAGAGCACAGCCAGAGAAACCCAGCCAGCCTGGAGAAGGTGTCTAGGTTGTGTATTCGCTGCTGCATTCCCTCACATCCAATCAATGGCAACATAATAAGATGGCCATGATGTTAGTAATATTTATTACTGTGATAACAAAATTGATAAGGGTTCTATTGATCTATTTTGTTCATTTCCTTTCTTCACTGCATGGTCTTAGAGTCTGGCCCTCCCTTATATAAACAAGGCATCCTCAGAACTCAGGAATCCAGCATTTCTAGCCTTGCCATCCTCTAGTTTGGTCTTTTGTTTGAATACTTGCTTCCCTCTGTTGCTGTTGTAAGTGGCATGTAATCTGACTTGTACTTTTGCATAACCACATATACTACATACCTTAGAATTTATTAGATGCTATTCAAGAGACTATGCATCATTGTTCATGAATGTTTCCAAAATCAATTCCAAGGAAATCTAGGATTTTGTTCATGTACCAGTACTGTATCACTTAGGATTAGTTCTGTCTACTAGTGACATTAAAAAAAAAAAAATTTGGTGGCTTGAACAATGTCTCATGGATTACAGTTCCTAGGTGTGTCATCAGAGAACCAGAGCCTTAGAAAGGCATTATTCTGCATTTAGTTTTGATCCTGAAGTCGTTCCATAGTTTAGCATTACTGCTGGGTTTCCAACTAGCAGATCACTGTTCCAAAGAAGAAGAGAGAAAGAACTGAGAGAGCTAAAATGGCCGTAATCTTTTCTGAATTGGTTCCTCTTAAATAACCTTCTTAAAACTAGTTTTCAGCACTTCTACATACGTGCAATTGTACAGAATTTGATCCCATGACCACTCCTAGCTGTGATGGAGACTGAGCAATGTAGTCATGTATCTGAACATATTATCCAAATAAAATGGATTTCAGTTTCTAGGGAGGAAAGGTAGATGGATATTGGATAGGTACCTAGATGTCTGATGGGATATTGTAGACACATTTGAATAATCTTGATATTCCATTTCATATTGTCCTGCAGTACCAAGAGCTACACCAGGAGGTACAATCATAGTACATGAGAGACCAATGGCAAAATTTCAGGGTTACCACAAGACACAGGTAAACCTTGACCAGTTGTTAGGTACAAGGAAGTTAGAATCAGGAATTCAAATTATGTGTTTGACTCAAATGAAGACTGTATTTCCTAAGTTTATTTCTAGCTTTATCTCTATAAAACATTGGAAGAATCTCTTATTCCCTAGTTCCTTACTACCTTACAAACGGATTTAGATATCCAAGATTTTCCTATTTATTGCTGAACAATTTCTAACCATGTAGGTTAGATGTGTCCAATGAGCACACATGATGGAGCAGAGCCCCTCTGGTGGTGAAGTACAGTAACACTCATGGTTGTCCTGGCATGCTTGCATTGCCTCCATGGGGTACCCAGTGCATTTGGCTGCACCATTCCCATGAGAGCCCCTCCAATCCTGTCAACTCAGCGTTGGAATCTCATCTATGGGAAAACATCCTGATCTGGCTGGATTCCTTCTGCATTCCCAGGGTCTGTAACACATAGTAGTTGCCCAAGAAACAGTTTCTCCTCACTCTCCTAAGGACACTGGGTGCTCCAGGTGGCATCTGTGGATTTTGCTCTAGGGAGCCATTATTGATCTGGAGGTAGTCGATAGGTAGATTGTCTGAGGACATTTTAAGTAAAAATCTTAGATAGGTTCCCAAATAGTATTTGAGGTATCTGGGCTAGTATCCCATCTAAGAAGGTGTGTGAGTGCCAGGGGAGGAAGGGAAGAGATAGCTTCCTGGCTGGTTACCTGTCATCTGCCAGACAGTATTCCAAGCAATAACAACAAACTTCCAAGATAACATTTTTATTTTCTGCTCTGAACTTGCAAGGTAATATGTCTATTCTCATTTTTTAAGATGGGGAAACTGAGTCCGAGAGATGAAGGAAGTTGCTTAAGGTTGCAAATCTAATGAGTGGCAAAGCTAACAGTAAAATCCATATATTTCTACTCTGCCATGTTTACTCTCCCTCTCCAAGGAAAAATGTCAATGCAGAAAACTTAAACTTTACAGTGAAAAATAGAAGGAAAACATGGACCACAGATTGAGCAATGGCCTGGAAATGAGAATGACTGAATTCTGTCTCTTCCGACGCTGCCCTGGGACTTTTCTTTATCAACCCAGACTGTGTGTATGAAATGCTTTATAAAGGATGGAGCCCTGTACAAATGACACTTCATCTTAACAACAACTGTTGTGTCTACATCTCCATTTCTGCCCTGCCAAAATTGGGCTGGTTTTATTGTTTCTTCATTAAAATGCTGTAATGATTGATACATTGGAAAGTGCTCATAGAACTACAAATAAGGTGCCTTTTAAGCATCACCACGTGTCAACACAGTAACTTTGTCAAGTGATTTGGGATCTTCTAATTGAATTGTGTCATCTAAATTTATAGCATCAAAGAAAGTAGTAGTAATAGTAACAATATCAGTTCAATAGTAATTAGTAATAAACCTAGTCAACCAGCTACAGACTGAGCCAAATCTTCTAAGCATTTTCTGCCAAAGAGAATTTACTCCTGCTAGGAAGTGTCTAATAAGGACATTAACAGAGTGAGAGCCCATCTGTGATAAGACCTTTCCAAGAGCCTTCAGAAAAGTCTCTTAATGAATTCTGCTGCTTGCCTTCATAGATGCACGTGCAACTGAAAGTAACTAGTGCTGTATTCCTGAGTTACATGCTCCTCCACACATTCTAATTTCCCAGTGCAGCCAGAGTTAACATGATTGAGTCCTGTGCTGCAAAGACTCCTCCCCATTGGCTCCTTCATGTATGGTGAATGTCAGAAGCACACAGTTGGTCACTAATCCATTGTTCATACCTAGTCCTTGAAATCCTCCAAAGAAACGCACATTTTATATCAGACCAAGGGAATATATATATATATATATACACTATATAGTATATATAGTATATGTATGTATATATATATATGTATGTGTATATATATATATATAGTTTTAAGTGACCATCCTAAATACTTTGAAATAAAGTGTTAAATTAATATTTATGTCACCAAAGAAAAGCTAGAAAAGTCAATTTTTAGGTTTCAGAAGTATGCTGACAGGCTGGTGTTGTGGCACAGTGGGCTGCAGTGCCAGCATCCCATAGTGGTGCTGGTTCAAGTCCAGGCTGCTCCACTTCGAGTCTAGCTCTCCCTGCTAATGCACCTGGGAAAGCAGTGGAAGATGGCCCAAGTCCTTGGGCCCCTGAACCCACATGGGAGACCTGGAGGAAGCTCCTGGCTCCTGGCTTTGGATCAGCTTAGCTCCGGCCATTGTGGCCATTTGGGGAGTGAACCAGCGAATGGAAGACTGCTCTTTCTCTGTCGCTCCCTCACCCTCTCCCTCTCCCTCTAACTCTTTCAAATAAATAAATTTAAAAAGTATGCTGAAGTGTATTTGCTGTATTTGGTTTCTTGGTCATTTAAGAGGTTCAGAGGGGATCGTATAGTCATAGTAAGCCCTGCATTCACAAGTCTTAGTCTTTTAGCATGGAATGTATAGGTCAAAATGGTAACAAGTAGGAAACCTTGCCATGGAACTTGAGAAAGTTATAGAGGCTCGTCCTTTTGGTCCTAAGCTGTTGGTGCCTGCAGTCTCTCCAACCCTCTTTTGGGACAGCAGCAGTTTTGCATTGCTTTTAGCTGAGTGACCTCAACTGTTTTGAGTGCTCTAGGATCCTCCAGGTTTCCCAGGAGTCCATGGGGATCAAAACGAGGGTGAGGGCTAGCGTGGGAGCTCTTACACAATCCCACTGTGCTGCTGGAGTAGAAACACCTGGGTCTCTTTCGGTCCATATTGGGCTCCTAAGTAATCCTGAGAAAGGATTTCGTTTCTCACAGTGTTCTTTGGAAGAACTCATTCGATGTTGTCACTTCATTCTCTCTGGTCTCTGAGATTGCTTTGTTCCCATTGTGCAGATGAGGACCGAGGTTCATACCAGTTAAGTGAGTTTCCAGAAATAATCCAACTCATACGTTACTGTGCACCTGCTGTAATTCTGACTACATTTGCTTTATTAACCACTAAATACAGCTAACTCCTTTTTCCAGATTGAAAATATCAGTAATTTTAGGAATGCTTTTTTTTTGCTTCTTTTTAAAACAAGTTCAAGTTCCTGTATTTGTTACAATTCAAGTACTGTATTTGTTACTATGCTACTTAAGTAAATATTTACATATGTATTAGTCATATATGTATGTGTGTGTATATATGTACCAGAGTGCTTCAAAAAGTTTGTGGAAAATGAAGTGTAAAGATAAGTTTATTATGATGTGATGCAGAAAATGTTCATAAAACAATGAATACTGTGAAAAATTATGTGTGGACTTAAATAATTTTTGCTCCCAAATAAATTTGTCTTTTCATTCCATTTTTCATTAACTTTTTTGAAGCACCATGATGAGGACAGGGGCCCATTTTATATAGCACATATTTCACAGTACAAGGTTGGATTGGATTGAAGCTGTTCACCAGAAATAAGTTTGGTCATATTTTATTCTTGGTATATTATGGGTGGAATATTACAATTCATTTTGTGGTGTTTTTTTTTGGGGGGGGGGACCGTAATTTGTGTATTGTAAACATTAGAATAGCCACAGGCTTTGTGTGACCTTAAGTATGTAACCAACCCTCTTGGAAATCGTGAATGACCTTTTGAACTGGAAATGAAAGCATTTACGTTTCCACCTGAAGAGGGGACAAAGCAGAATTTTGTTTGCTGTATCTTGGGCCTAAGATTCGAGCAATTATGAAATCATTAGTAATCCTCTGAATATAGAAATTTGCTGGACATTGGTGATGCTTAGGAATCCTAGGACTTGTTGTGAGGTGCAGTGATACCAAGGCATTAGCCACCTGTGTATGCATGAGAGGATTGGGTCTACCCTGGAGGCATACTGGGCTAGAGAGGTTTAGCGTTTTGTTTAGATTGGAGGTTGAGAGCTGGAAGATGAAGTTTACAAATCACAACAGTAATGTTTCTTGCTTCACTTCCTCATATGTACACAGAAACGTATTAAAATGGTGTATGCTAAGATACCTCTGTAAAAGTCCTACTCACTATTCTACCTGTGGGCACCATTCACTTGCTCCCCCAACCCAGTTTGTTTGTTCAGCAAAGCAAAGGTGCTGCTGATTTTGCAGACAGACTAGCAAGCTTGAGATGCAAAATGTTAAACCTGAAAGCTTCCGGTCCTTTATTTAAAAGCATAAGATAGAGATCATATCACACCAGTAATCGTAATGGTAGGATGTCAAGAGAGAGAGTGAGTGTGTGTGTGTGTATCCCTGTCTAGGCTAAGCAGGAAAGCTAGTTCATTGGGGTTCAACTGACTTTTGTTGCTTCATGTTTCCTGCTGGCTTGTAGAAGCAGTCATGTGGATCAGAGGACAGGCTGAGAGATAATTAAGTGGAAATACGAACTCTATATCAGGCCTCTTTGGAAAGAGGTAGCAAACCTTTCTAATCAATTCTGATTCCTTCTGGCTTTGTTGCCCAAGGTCAGCTGAACAGTCATTAGGGGAGGTCCCGGCAGGCTCCGTGCTCTCCATCATCTAAGGTTAAATAATACGTCATTAAAAGGGTCAATCAGAAAGGAGCAGATTCTTCCCCTATGAGTCACCTATTTTGCAGAAACCTCTGGTTTCTTGGAATTTGTGTCACAAATTTCAAATCTCACCACAGAGATGCTCATGTATATATTTGGCTGCATTCAGAGCCAGCACTCGTGGAGTGCTGGTGAGAATGAGAGTCTTGGTTATGGAGAACGAATGTACAAGGCATCCATCCCTCACTGCTTCTCTACAGCAACCTCAACAAGTGCATGGACAGTTACATTAAAATATAAGCTCATTTGGGTGCAAAAGAATTTACCACCTGTGCATACAAGGGGTCCTCACAAAGCTTATGGGAAAGGCATGTATGAAAAATTGGTACATGGAGTTTGAAAATTTTTGGCACCAAAATAAACTGATTTTTTAATTGCATTTTCCCCAATCATGTTGATGGACTCTCTTAAAATGAGAAGCAAGATCAGTATGCTGTATCACATTAGATCTTGAATGAGGATGTGGAAATGGCACCCTAACCCTAGGATGTCATAGGGGTAGGGGGTGGTGAGTGTTGGAGAAGAGTGGAGGAAATCTTCCTCTTCTTCAAGATGAGATCAGAAATATGAGGGGAAAACCAAGAAGAACAGGCTCACAGCTCTAGAGGAGGTTTGGTGATGGCATATTCTTCTACCTTGACATTGCTGCGTAAACCTCACTCCAAGACGGGAAACTGCTCAAGCCACTGAAAGTAGGCAAAAGCAACACAACGAACGCTCTTCCTTCTCTGTGATCATCTGGACAATATAAAAACATTACAGAAAGTTTGGAAAACAAAGGGAAGAAAATTTCTGATAGCTCTGTTTCCCCAATACGGCCTCTCATTGCATGTTTCTAAATACCCCCTTTCAGTTTCTATCTTGGAAGGGTAAATGCTACTCTTAATAGTTACTTTTAACAACTGCCTAATATTCCTCAGATAGAGTTTTAAGTGCCATATCTCTAGAGGTGGGTGAGAGTAATGATGAGTATTATTTATTATCAGTTAGTCTGGGCACACACACACAGGGAGAAAATGATAAATTTCAGTGTTCTTCTTCAAATCTTGCCACCTACTGTTAGCAGATACCAGTGAGATGAAAATACATATTCAGGTGTTTGGTTGTAAGTCGCTGGAGACTTTTGGTCGATATGCTAGCAAAGCTCCTGTCTTTACCACATCAAAAACCTTGTGGAAGAACAGTAGCTGGGGATGATTGGATGGATGGCAGGGAGCAAGGGAGAGAGAGGAGGAGAAAATTAATTTGACCTTGATGGAAGCACAAATACAGAGTTTAGGAGAACTAGAACTATGGACCCAACGGCCAGTATAGAAGGTCCACCCTGTCTGGTGGGTGACAGCTGTCACCTTATGGTTCAGAACTATGTGAGAATCTGGCTTTGGATGAGCTTTTTACTCTATATAAAAAGTTAGGAATTTAACAAAGACATTACTGAATAGGGGGAAACGTATATTAATTTTTTTAATTAAAATATTTCATCTATTTAAAAAATAATCCTCCAGGTGGAGTAAGAACTACAATAAAGCCATTATTGTGTTTGTACTTCTCTAAAGTGTCACTGAAAAGGAGACTTCACATTGAGGACAGGGTGTTGTTTGTATGTGAATGTGTGTGTGTGTGTGTGTGTGTGTGCGTGCATGCACATACATTTCTGGAGTGCTCATTTCAAAGTGTGCGGCAGCCTTTCTTACTGAAATGCATGTCTGTGTGTCTTTGTATGTGTGTGAAATATCTGAGAATGCAGTATTTAGACCCCATTAGTAAGGGTAAAAATGTACAGATAAACTATATCATTTATGGTTACGATATGGCTACTGTCAAAATAACATGCTATTTTGACAGTTGCTTTATCTTTACTCTCACTGAGTCTACAATAAGAAACTAGTTTCTTAGCAACTAAAATATATTCTCAAACAAGAGCATTTAAAAAATAAAGAAAAAAGACCACAAAAGAAAAAATACAGCGGTAGCTGACGCCTGGGCAAACTATTCCTGTTGGGTGGGAATGAAATTGATCAGAACCAGCATGATGTCCTCTTGCTTGTCCAGCTGCCCCTGGCCAGGAGCAAGGGCAAGGCAGCGATTTCTCACAGAACATGAAGACTGGAACAGGGGGTAGCTGGCAGGAGGCTTGGGAAAGACTTTCATTGTCCTTATTCATCTGTGTCTTAATCTCTTCTTTTATCCTCCTTAACTTTTCCTTAGGTTGCATGCTAAGCTAGAAAGTTCTGTAAGAACTGGTGCTTAAGACCTGGCACAGAAAATCAGCATGCAGATTTGTCTTTCCTGTGACTTGCAGCCAGTGGCTCAGATGCATACATCACCGTCCAGCTGAAATGATAGGGATAGAGGACGGGCACCCTCCTTCCAGGGAGGGCTACAAAGGTCAAAGCTATTCTTATCATAATATTATATGGTATTTGCTTTTCTCACGCTCACTGTTTCATGAGTGTCCAGTGGAGTTTTCCAGGGGCTATGTGATGTGTGATACTGCACAGACTAAGTACAGAGACAAAAATGAGAACCCAGCTGTCTTCTATTAAGACAGACCTTAAAAAGATTTGCAGAAATGTAAAACAAACCTGCTCTTTTCACTCATAATTTTGTTTCAGAGATACTATTTTTAATAAAAATGTGTTATTTATGTGATAGGTTTATTGACTTGAAATGAATTGATAAACATTTAAGAATTTCTTAGTTTTAAATTTCTAATAAAGTAAATAGTGATAGATATAGCTTATATAAACAAGACCTTTTTGGAGTCCTTAGTCATTTTTAAGAGAATAAAGGGGCCTCAGACTGCAAATGTTTGAGAAACACTGTAACAACAAACTGATAGTCCATACCTGTGTGTCATTTGTGGGTTTGGCAGTCAGCAATATCATTTCCCATTGAATGCTGTGGGGGTTTTCATAGTGGCTCCTGAGCAATCAGCAAGTTAGAGAACTCGGGCAGTTAGTGTGTAAATTTAGCCCCCTTTAATTTTGGTGTCTACCCTCAGCATTTGGACATCCAGAAAATAGCGACTCAGCTCTTCAGAAAGATACCCACCTCTCCTATAATTTTTCTTTTCTTTGCTGTTGCCATGGGAAAATTCATGCCTGGGGACACCTGGCTTCAGGTCTGTGGCTGCTACCCTACAGAGCACCAGGAGTCAGACTGCCATCCAAAACGAGATCTGAGAAGTAAGACATAGGGGAGAACGCAGGATGCCGAAGGAGGAGAGGGGGGAATTGTTAATTAAGCTCTATTAAATATTAATTGAAATATAAATTCCAAACCTCACCAACTCCTGACAGTTCTGTAATCTAATTAAGTGGTGGGGCCTGTTGTCCCCCAGTGTCATCGGGTATATTAGGGGAATAAAGTGATCTTCTGTTCATAAACACCAGGAAGGCTTTATTAATCCAGGGCCTTCGCCAGTCAAGTGGCTGGGAAAGTCAGCCATGAGAATGCCTTTATGGGAAATGGAGAAATAGGGAGGCAGATTCCATGTGGATGTGACTGCAGTGAGTCAGCTGCAAGGATCCACGTGTAGTCCCTATGACACGGCCTCTGTGGTTCAGGAAGGAGAGCCGGGGTGCTCAGTTGCCGTTGCACCACTGCGTTATCTTTTCTGCTTGGAAAATGCATGGCAAATCCCTGGGACCAGTTTCAGTTCTATAAACCACCTGTGTGTATGTGTGTATGTGTGTGTGTGTGTGTGAGCATAAAAATTTCAAGAGAATACAACTTGAAGGGGGTTGGGACGTGGATTTGGTTTCTTCCTAGCACATAGGAGTACATTTGTGTTTTGGAAATTTTCTGTTGATGGTTCTGATGGGAGAGGATAAAAATGAGCAGAGTCCTGTAAAGGCTTGGGGAGAAAAGAGCCCCAGCATCGGTTCCTTTTCTAGCTCTGGAAAGTTCTTAATGGAAAGTTAGAAAACAAAGCAAGGCACACAATATTGTCTTACTTCTTTCTTCTTTGAATGATCTCATGATTTCTGCAAAGTGCACAACATGTGGTCTGAGATTTTTTTTTTTAGGTGATGTAACTCAGTTTTGAAAACAATTACCATGAGTTAAATCTGCGACTCTGAGCCTTTATTTTTGAAAAGCCTCTAGACTGAAGCTTCATTGTTTTATCTGGAGGAAATCAGGATTATTTGCACGTTTTCTTTTGTGTAAGATTTGGTTCGGTGTTAGTTGTTCCCATTGTTTTGCAGCACGATTTCTTCATACCTCCTGGTTTTACATTACTGCTGGGACCCACGTTTGTGGATACCGTTTTGGTTTTAGCAAAGGAGTTCCTTGGACTTTAAATGCATTTTGCATGAACATATTTGCCCTCATGCCATTTGGCCAGACCCAGGTGTGAGCGAGGTGGGCCTGGAGTGCCTCTGACCGGTGTGTCCTTGGTCATGAGCATGGATCTTCCTCCACTGGGCCCACTGTGACTGGCGGGGCTCGGGGGAAAGGTGTGACAGAACTGTGGCGTGCATTGCTCCGTCACCCGCCGTATGTTAGCAATTTTACTGTGGTCTCTTTTATTTCCTTTTCAGTTTCGGCCAGAACAGTCTCCTAAAGGAATGTGGATCAAGGCTCCCGGTGTTGGGAGCAGGAATAATACATCTTGAGCTGCTGCCTCACCCCCTGAAGGTGGCCCGGGCAGCCTTGCAAAGCCCCTGAGATGAGAGATTTCTGTTTAGTACAGTTGAGAAGGGCTCCTAGTGCTTGTTTAAAGGGAGTCAAATAAGGAAAGCATGTTCCCTTGGCTTGTGGAGGCCCGGGCTTGGGAAATGTGACTCTCGGCCAGGGTGGATGGACCAGGTTCGGGAGCCTCCCTGCCGGTCCTGACCTCTTTGTGAGGGCATGGGACCGCGGCCCTGCTGCCTACGTGCCCCCGCAGGCCTGTGGACGGGAACAGGCGGGGGCTGGGCACCTTGGGAGAACTTGGCAGAGGCCTCCCTGTTCACTTTGGAGCGTTCCTGCTCTCGAAGGCCGCGCTGGAGCGCGGGACTGTGCTGCTGCTGGCGTTTTAGAACATGAGAAAGAGCCGCAGTAGGAGCCAAGGATCTGCCAGACTGAGTTGGGAGAACCTTTATCATTGCTGTCAGATACATCACAACTCGCTTGTCTTACCATACATCTTCCTAAATGTGACAGAATATTCAGCTGTTATTAATTGAATACTCTCTAATTTAACTGCTTAGCGGGAGAAAGAGTGACTGGTTTGTTTCAACACGTAAAACTGGCATCAACCTGTATGTGGGTTTCAATGTGGTTGCATTTCAGGGCCTGAAAAAAGTGACTGTATACAGAGAAATGGCTACCCTACTTTTCAGCAGAGTAACTCGACCCAGTTTATTGTTCTCAGAGGGAGGGAGAGATGCACGCATGTGAGAGAGGTATAGGTGTTGGGGTCATGCCGATGGCTTGATGGGCACCTTATACTCCACTATTGTTTGTGATGAGTGGGTTGTGGCTTGCAGGCCAGCCCCTCTGAAGTACTTGAACCTCCCTAGAAGGCTCGGTGACGCTGTCGATCTTTTTCTTTTTATCTAAAAGCTTAAAAGAATGCATGCGGTTACTCCGTCGTATCTGTTTGATTGAAAATGGAAACAGAGAGCCCTGCAAGTTTCTGTACATTATGGAACGTGATGCTGAGAATTAAAAGGCCTCTTGATGCAAGAAATCAAGCAATGAAAATTTAAGAAGCTGGGGATGCATTTGGAGAGTCTGAACACAGGGTCTCTCTCCTTGGGCCTTTGGTGGGAGAATAAAAGCCAGTCAACCGTCAGCGTCTGCAGCTACCCCGGGAAAACAGAGGAGGATCCGAGGCCTTGATCTAGGGGGAGTCCCGTGTGCAAACCAGACATCCCACTACGCGTGTGCGTGTGTTTGGACGATGTGTTTGTGGATACCTAATTCTGTCGTGCTTTTTAAAAGAAGATATAAAAATGTACTCAGGGGCCAGAATGCCTCTAGGTATGTGCACAGTATTTTTTTTTCTTAGCGCAATAAATCCAAAGGGTGATAATAAGTAGAAGCCCGACTGGGCTTGACGTTGACACCGTCAGCAGGGAGGTCACGTGGAAACAAAGGACAGTGTCCCCAGCTCTGTCACGAAGGTCAGCAGAGCACGGTTTGGCACTTTGAGAGATGAATGCGAGTCCCAAGGCTGAGGACAGGGAAGAGCATACCTACAGGCCTTGGAATTGCCCGTCATGGGACTATTAGCTTGAGCGTTCTGGAAAATATTATTACCCCCAGGGCGCCATGTAACTCCCTAGCTGCTGACAAGCTGCCAACATGGCTTTCTGTGGGTTGCAAAGTTGGAGCTCCCCTGGCAGGCTGCCAGGGTTTTAAGAAGGCTCTGGGGGCCCAAGGTAGCCTCCTGGTGCCAGTCAACATTCATTGTAAACCCAATTCAGGGGGGCGGAAAAAACCCTCCCTTGCCTTCCCCTGTGCACAGAGCTAGCTGGCATACAAGGAACATCTATACTGGCACATTGCCCCTTATTTTAGGGACTGGCTTTTGCTTTGGGATGGCATGGAGAAGGGGATTATTTGCACTGTGGCTTTTGATGTAAGCCATCATTGTCATATTACATGAATAGCACTGCACAGGGATGGCCGAGCACAAAGACTAGTCCTCCATCTCTCGCTCACATTGTCCTGTGCAGCCCAAGTGCTTGTCACAAAAGGGATTGCTGGTTCTTTTCCCCCTATGTTGTCTTATGGAAAATAGTGGCCTCAGTTGAAAACCTCGGTTTTTAATTTGGGCATTGCAAAACATGTTAAAAATTGGAGGAGTGTTTTTTTCCAGAGAAACAATTTGCATGTTTGTACCTAGAAATGCTGTGCACATGTGCTCACAATCATATTTATAATTACTTTTTTTTTTGGTGCAATTTTAGAGGTCTTAAGGTAACCAATCACTGTATCATAGGGGGAAAAAAGAGCAACAAATAGATAATAGATTTTGTTATATTAGAATAGAAACTTATTTAGTGAAAATAACAAAATTGCAAGATCTTCTCACTAGAAGAAAACCAATATTAGAATTCCTGGTGTGTTTCTTGGCTCACTAGGCTCATAAGACAAATATAGGAAGGTAATGTTCTTAATATAAACTCTGGATATCTGTATATGTATATACAAGGGTGCTTCAAAAGTTAATGGAAAATCCACACCATTTTTTCAATCTACTGGAAAATTCTCCAAATGCCCAGAACAGCCTGGGCTGAGTGAGGCCAAATACAGGAGCTTGGAACTCCATCCTGGTCTCCCATGTGGGTGGCAGTGACCTAAGTGTTTGAGCCAACATCAGTTCCTCCCAGGGTGCACATTAGCAGCAAGTTGGATCAGTAGCTGAGTCTCGAACCAGGCACCCTAATATGGGAAATGGGGCATCCCAAACACCAGCTGCTGTGCCACATGCCTGTTCCTCATATTATTTTTAATTACATTTTCCAAGAACTTTTTGAAGTTGCCTCATATAACTTTATGTATTTAGGTGTTACAACGTATGGGCATATGCACAGAGAGAGGGGTAGGGAAGGGGATGCAGAACATTCCTAGGTAATAGGATAATACAGCAAAAGTCATGTAGTCAGATACATATCATATAATACAAATAGTTGCCCAAGATAAAACTAAATGAGGATAACAGTTCGGTATTTAGGTAACAATTCACCACTGAAAAACTCAACAGTCAGCTTCATGGTGCTCTGGGTGTTATCAGGGAGGGTGTTTGGATTTGAGGAAGCATGGGTGCTATGTAGCACTATTTCTGCAACTAATCTGGATTTTTTTTTAATAACAACAAGTGCAATAAATATTTATAGGACTCTGTTTTTGACTCTGGAATGGAGAATGTAACAATGAAGAAGACAGAGGATATTTTCACACCCACCATGGGCCCCAGAAACCAGATTTTTGTAGGAGAAATTTTGTACAAACTATATTGGGATTCAACGACATAATTGTTAGGGGGGCAGTGGTGTTTTTGATGCATTGACCATGACTTTGAAAGTTCAAGTTCAAAGTGTACAGATAGGAAAATCATAAACTATTGTAAGCTTTTTAAATTAACAAGACACCTGAAAATGTATCTAACTGTATCCCATTGCTAGCTAATACCATTTGGTCCTAATATTGGAGTCTTACCTCTTCATTGAAGATAGGTATTTTCAACTATTGTCTGAAGTTTAGCCAAATAGAGAATATAAAGGAATTGATTAAAAGAATATACGTAGCAACTCAGAGTAATGTTTCAATTTACAAGACACTGAAAGAAGTTAAAGGACTTGTCTCAATCCACCCTTTTAATCATATAAGTGATATTACCCGTTTAACATATTTGGCCAATGAAGTCAGTATGGTCCACCTGTAGCCAATTGAGTACTGACAAGGAAAAAGATTTCTAAAAGCTGTTTTCTCATGCTTGTTTTAAGACTGTCCTTTCCATGTCCACTGTTTTGTAGCCCAGCACATGTCCATTAAGGTGAGCATGCGAGGTTGGGTGCACCTGGGAGAACTTCCCAAGGTTTTTCACCCACCTGGCTGATCAGGCTGCAAAACAAAGCCATGGTTTGCGTTGCAAGTGGGCTGGGTCTGGTTGGATCTGAGATGACCAGAAGTCCTCCAGTGCTTTGGTGGTTTTCATGCAAGCATTTTTCATTTTATAATTCAAGATGGTATGGATGTCATTTCTGACGGAGAGACTGTTGGCATGCTGGGTCTGATTTTTAGTTTGGCAGCAAATCTGCCCAGAATCATCTAGTTGTCCCCTGGGAGCCTCACCCACAACTCCCTCATGATAGTGGAGCATTTCAGGTTTCACAGCAATTTTTCCTCTTTGTTCCTACAACTTGTTGCCCGCAAAGCCTGTGTCGTATTCATCCCTGGCAGAATCTCAGACCCACAAGCGGAGCTTTGTGTGCACAACACACCGTTGGTTATTTTTACCACTTCCGTGGTTTGCTCGTTCATTAACGCTTAAATCTATCAACGCATGGTATCATAGCTTATGGCGAATCAAACTCCCACTCCGAGGGACGGCAGCCTGGCTTGGGGGGAAGTGACACAGCAGGCTGCAGGCAGACTCTAAAGAGGCGGGTCTTAGATGGGCCCTGATGCTACGGATTGATCTTGGGCCTACAGAGTGGGATAAGGGAGATAACGCAGGGATCCCTGCCTAATGGTCCCTGCCGTGGGAGGAAGGTGACTTGCAGTGCTGCGGCTGGGTGGAAGCCTGCTTGTCCTTGATGCTTTCTGTGGTTACCACTGCAGCCTTTTCAGTGCCTTCCCGGCACCCAGCCCAGTGCAGTGCAAGACAAGAGTGCAGATTACAGTATAAAATTCTTTTCTTTTCTTTTTTTTTTTTTTTTTTGACAGGCAGAGTAGACAGTGAGAGAGACAGAGAGAGAAAGGTCCTCCTTTGCCGTTGGTTCACCCTCCAATGGCCAGCGCGGCCGGCGCACTGCGGCTGGTGCACCGCGCTGATCCAATGGCAGGAGCCAGGTACTTATCCTGGTCTCCCATGGCGTGCAGGGTCCAAGCACCTGGGCCATCCTCCACTGCACTCCCTGGCCACAGCAGAGAGCTGGCCTGGAAGAGGGCAACCGGGACAGAATCCGGCGCCCCAACTGGGACTAGAACCCGGTGTGCCAGCGCCACAAGGCGGAGGATTAGCCTAGTGAGCCGCGGCGCCGGCCCCAGATTACAGTATAAAATTCTACTTAGCCTCCCAAAAGGGTGCTAGGTAGATGATTTTGTTTGCCTCACTCTCTTGATACCCACAGCCAAGAAGCTTGAAACTAAAATTTTTCTTTTTAGTTTCATCTGTTCCATAAGCACGTCGTGAGTGCCTATCACATTGACCTAGTGTGGCACCTGCTCATGGTAGATGCTCACTAAATGCTTGTGGAACTACCAGACACATGAGAGTGCCATGCTCCAGTGAGAGTGGTATGGGATTATAAGGGAAAATCAAGTTTGACAGCAAGCAAAAACAAACCTGTGCTTAAGAGGAGTCAGGGGGCTAGCATTTGGTTCGGTAGTCCAAACACTGCTTGGGATATCCACATCCCACCTTGGAGTGCCTACTTCCAGTCCAGACTACTCTGCCTGTGATTCAGCTTTCTGCTGATGTGTGCTCTAGGAGGTGGCAGATGATGATTCAACTGTATGCTTCTCTCCATGCCTGGGAGAATCTCAATTTGAGTTCCAGGCTCCTCCTGCCTTTGGCCTGGCCTAGTCCTGGCTATTGTGAACATTTGGGGGTGAGCCAGTAGATGAAAGATCTCTCTGTTTCCATTTCTCTGCCTTTCAAATAAAATAAAAATCAGGGGCAGTGGATGTCACTGAGACAGTGACTGTAAGGAGGCTGGCTGGACTGCTGGGTCCTACTAGTAGTATTTCCCGGAGCCCAGTACTGCATCTTGGGCTCTATGCTTTCATGGAAGTGTATTGAGCTGTACAGCTGGGACTTGTGTACTTTGATCTAATATATCTTAGGCTACAATAAAATATATCTTAAAGCATAGTGTCTGATCTCAAGCACCTTACACTCTAACTGGAAGTGT